TATTTCAAGTAAAACAAATTTCAAAGAGAAAATCCTCCATTATCACTGCATTAGTAAATGAAATTTACTAATGGTGAATTGCGATTTTTGAATGCAAGTTTTCTGAGTTTGCCGGCCTAAGTCGGTTTCGCTGCTCCGTGTACAATATATCGGCTTTAGAAGACAATCCCTTACTTTGACAAATTTTGACAAAATTGGATATTGCTCACAATAAACTGTCCCATGCGTGTGGATTGTCACTTCGCTTAATTCTAGCATTTTCAGATACATGTTCTCTACCGATAACATTTTTTGGGATACACTTTCATGGTTTAAGGGGTTTGCTTCCGAAACCTCGTTGAAACAGTTCCAAAAAGTTTAGTTAGTCTCTTGACAGTTCGGGACAGGGATTCATCAAGTCAACTAGCTTGATATTTTCATAAACTAGTTGACTTGATTTGAAAATAAAATCAAACGTTAATGCTTGACTTGTTTTGATTTTCTATTGTTCTAATTGACTTGAGTTCAAGCATTTCCAAACTTGATACTTGATGGCAAATTATATTTTTGTTCTACTGAAGACATTCAGTGATATTTATTTGTACAACTGATGAGCCGTGTTTTGTATTTTAGTGCTAATAATCACGTAGAAAATCGGAAATCGTCACGGGGTACACTGCCATCTCAAATGATGCAATGCAAACAGCGGTGCCAAACCAAAGAACACGAAATCGGTAAATAGTGTAGTTGAAATTCGGTTGGGCCACGCAGCGCTATCTATGAAAATTATGTTTTCATATAGCGGGGGCACACAATAGAGATACGCAGGTTTTCTATAAATATAACACGAATTTTAGAAGAAAAAAATTTAATGTAGTGTACATAAATTTTTAGCTATTATACATGTTGTATAACGGGTACAATTATTGTGATATAGGAATGTGGTTGAAAATCCGGTCAATTGACACTTCTATTATTTTTAATTTTACCACCACTATAAACCCAGTAGGACACTCACGTGTCTTAACCTGTGGTTAGCGAATAAAAAGCTAATTTAGAATTACTAATTTTTTTTATCAGTTGAAGAAATGTTTTTTTTTTACTCTAGTTTACAGTTTTACAGTTTTATCATTTTATTATTTGTTATACGATAAACAGGTTATTAACATATAGGTATGTATTAAGTAATATGAAGACTACTTGATTTCTCAAGTACTTGACGGACAGACGTAAAAACTACTTGACTTGAAATCAGATTGCTAATATCCAACTTGATTTCAAGTCAAGTAGTGAATCCTAGTTGGGGGCGTATCTTCTCAACTGCTGGAGAACCTTCACTTTAAGGAAAATGCTCAACGAGCCTTTTTGATCGGGTCAGCTATTCAGCCATGTAACGAACCTGATATCCGTTATCCGACCAATTCACTATCCGCTGCAACCCTAATTTCAATATAACACCATTTTACTAATAATAACCTTCGTAGTCGTTTATTAGGTACCTTCACCTAAAAACTCATTCATTTAATGAACTGACTTATGCGATGTTTATACGCATCCAACAGTTAAATAGACATAATCATCCTCAAAACAGTAAACTCAGTTACTCTCTATAACCAGAAGGGTCTAAGTTTAAGCGGTTGTTGCATCTCGTCGCGCGTGAACTCAAAACAAACATCTCGTAAAGCGTTCGGTACTTATTTTGAAAAGTGTCATTAGAAATCTTTATGTTTAGTAAACTGTAGCGAGCATTTTCAACAAACAATCATCCGTGTATTACAAACACATCATCTCGTTGTAAATATCATTTTTACTTATCACGTTCTACCAGGAGTAAAGCGGGTGACTCTCGTTTTGAGACTGAGCGTCAGATCATGCTTTAGGAATATACATATGTATTTCGCCAAGGTGGTCTACGAGAATATGCAAGTACGAAAATAAATAAAAGTTCAAAGGAATAGAAAATAATCAGCCAAAGAGGAAACTTCTGAGGCATTATTAATTTGATGTTTCAAGTGTTTCTGATAAATATACAGTTTTGGAACAACTATAGGTCAAAGGAAACATTCTGATTTTCGAAGAAAGTATAGTTATCCTTTTGGTTTGATTATTTTTTTTTAAGTAATCGCCACAGTATCTTTATGTTTTTACTGAAAAAGAAGTTTTACAACCCCGAAAAATTTCGAATATGAGATATTGCATTTTTGGCGTGTTTTTCAACATGTACATTACGAAAAACTGTGTCACTCATTTCCTTCGGTCTGTCTGTCCGATAATCCTTGGCCCGCTTGTAAGTGAAAAATATGACAGATTTTTGATGAATATTTCCACAAAAAATTACTACTATATCAAGGGTCAACAAACAGAAAAAAAAATAAATTAAAACTCCTGATGATTTTGTAGATGGTGAGAGAGGGTATATTCTAATTTTTATTCGTTTGGTATTTTCTTCTAACCCCGATAATTCTGCGCACCTATTAAACATATTTTCACACATATTTTCTTTTGAAACTTAAAGTGAAAGAGAAATATTTTCAACACACGCGTCTCTGGATATTTTTGCGTTGCGGTCGGACCGTAGGTGGTTGTCGTGACATGCACATGCGTAGGTGTGATGACTATTTTATACAACCAAATGTTATAGACTGAAAGATATGCGCGTCAAGTTATTGGAAATACCAATAATAACTAGGCGCGGACTTGATATTGATCTTGTACGATGTTTCCAGCGTTAGGACGCAGTACTCAGTGTACCACCGTTCTGAGAGGGCATCACTCTAGTCACTTGATATAATATAAACAAGACACCTTCGATGCGTCGAAATCTCATCGCCATAATCATTAATATTTATTATGTCATCATAAATGGAGGTTTCGGTTGTTGATCAAACTTAATTTGGAATTTTTGCACAACAAAGGATAAAGTTGCCGAAACGTAATTTGGAATTTAGTGTTCAAAATACCAGTGTGTTTCAACCCCTTGTCTATGATGACTTCAAGGTAGGTGACAGATTCTTTTCATGGTATTCGAGTCCCATTAACTGGGATCTCCTATGGGGTACCACGACTTTGTTTTTAATAAAATGGATTGATTGCGGATAATAGAACACTACTGGGCTACTACTGCAGTGATATCAGTACAGAGATAGACTTCACAGTCGCTGGGGTAAGGGAGGTCATGTATATAAAATGTATAAAGTATTGGTAGTAAGACTAAACCCTGAGGAACACCGGTTCTTATGAGCTGTTGTTGACAAAACAGTGTTAGTTTTGATCAAAAACTTCCTTTTAGGAATTATTTCAACAGTTTCAGAAGCCAAAATGGAAAGTCGTTTTGGATGTGCTTATACAAGAGGCCCATGTGCCTCACCCTGTCAAATGTCTTTGATACATCTAAAAGCAGATACCAGTACTTTTGCTGAGGGTGAACCTTCTGGTTACAAGATTCCACCAGTCTAACTGCCTGTCCCTTCGTACTACGCTCAGACCGAATGCCAAATTGCATGTCAGGAACCACATGGTGACCTGGCGAGAAATTTTCATGGCTACGATGAATCATGAAGGAGCTGACAGCAGGCTTATGGGACGGTAATCCTGGGAGAATATCGAACCTTCTTCTTTGGCATCATAATGACTTCATCGATCTTCCACGTCTTAGGAAAGTACTGAGTTCCGAGCATTGCATTGATTATTGTCACGAGTAAGCCTTTAGCGAAAGCATCTTTAGTGCCATGTAGGTGACTTGATGCTCTCCAGGTGCTTAACGAGCCTTTAGGTTCTTTGGAGCTCTACCGGTGTGCAATACGGAACCGCAGAGGATTCCGTTGATGAACTATGCAAAGATTCATCTAAAGAGTCTTCGTTAGCAGAACTTCTTAAAAGGAGGCACTATTATCACTGATATTACTGTTGCTATTGGCTCTGAAATATTTCCTGAAGGACCTCAACTGTTTGTTGTTCCTCGTCATTAATTTGTTTGATAGTATCTGATGCTCAGAAATTCCTTGTTGGGAATAACACATCATATCAGCATGAAACGTTCAATTGATAATTGATAACCAGAGATTTGACAATTCTTCTATCACTTTCAAGTAATAAGGTGAATAATAAGTTCTTAAGGAACGACTACGCATTCTGTTCTTAGTCCGTCTTTCTCATTGTTGCGGTTATTGACACCTCCAAAGTGTCGCTCTATTTATAATCACGTTTTCCACTTTTTATCCGTGATTCTTCCATTTGGTATCAAGAATAGATGGCATCCGTTGTGGTTATAGTATCAATCCGAGCCATACATCAACGTCACTAATCGCAGCTAAAGTAAGTGCTTTTTTTGACATGTTTATTTTCCCTATTAAATTTTATCGGGTTTAGAGCTCGACCAGTGCGTGCCAATGTTTATTTTCAAAAATAAGATCGTTTCTTAACCTATATGTTGGGCTTGTGGGTGTCGTAAATCCTATTTTATGGCCTATACGCTTAAAGTTAGGCCTCGCTGGCTGTCCTATGGTTATTAAGTAGAGCTGTTGTCGATATCTGAATAATGCTTCCTTTGTTTGGTGATCAATGTCACGCACCCGGTAGTAAATCATTGTTTTCCTACCTCGGAGTGCATTACCAGTCTAATTAAATACCAAAACATAAACAACAACGGGGGTCAGGAAGATCAGATTATGTCTCTACGTTGTTGGGCTGTATTCCACTATTCGGCATCTCAGTTACGTAAAAGGCGGATCAAACAATCAGGGTCCATAAAAGGTGTTTTCGGTTCTGGAACTTTCCTTATGTCGTCTATCTCGATTTTGAAGTTATTTCTGATCAATCTTTCATCCTGGCTTATCCAGGATTTCAAAGTATGGACTGAATCGTAATGAAAACGTAACATGACCAAGTAGATAATATAAGGACACTGTCAATTTGTAGATTGACAGTGTCCTGTTTTCATCAATTAACTGAGTCTTTAACCAAACTTTCACTCGATAATGATTACGCAATTGTCATGGGCGATTTTAATATTAATGTTTTAGTGAATGACGGCCGATCCGAGATGCTGAACTGTTTTCTTGAGTCTTTTGATCTGTCTCAGTTAGTGAAAGAGCCCACACGTATAACTTCCAATAGCCAGACAGCTATAGACTTGCTCATGGTTAGCTCTGCTGATATAATAAGTGGTTATGAAGTTGTTGACGTAGATGGAATATCTGACCATCTAGCCCTAATATTTTATGTAGATGCATCGGAGATAAGCAACCTATGTAAACTGAGGACATATCGTGATTACTCTACCTTTAGCCTAGACAATTTCTACCATGATTTACTTTTAATACACTGGGATTTTATATATACGTTGAGAGATGTGGATCAAATGATTGACTTCCTGAGCTCTAATATCTTGTGCACCTTCAACTTGCATGCTCCTGTCAGAAACATTCGAGTTACCAAGCCACCAGCTCCTTGGCGAACATTCAACATAAAACTCATGATGCGAACAAAAAGTGACGCATATAAAAAATTTAAACGTACAGGAACGATTGCTGCCTGGGAATTCTATAAGAAAATCAGAAATTATGTTTCTAGTGCTATTAGGCGAGAGAAAAAAGCCTACCTCGATTATGTTATGAGACATAAAAATTCGAAGACTACATGGAATATACTTAGATCTTTGAATATCGTTAAACATAACTCCATAAGTCTACCTCCACATCTTCAGGATCTCGATTCATTAAATAGTGCTTTTTTAAACGTACCTCAAACAACCAAATCATTAACTCAATTGAACCTTTTAGACAAATATGAAAACGTCAAGAATAGTGGTACTTTTCTGTTCACGACAGTTTCCCCTGCCACTGTAGAGAAATTTATTAATCGCATCAAAAGTCATGCTAAAGGCTCAGATGGCATCACAATTGATATGATCCGTATAATACATAAGCATTTGCTCAAGTATATTACCTTCATTATTAACTTTTGTATAACAAATAATCTTTATCCCTCTTCCTGGAAGAATGCTCTTGTTCTCCCTCTGCCTAAATCTAATTATCCTTCAAGTTTTTCTGATCTTCGTCCTATAAGCATTTTACCAAGTTTATCTAAGCTTTTGGAAATGGCTTTACATGAGCAGCTGCACACATTTGTTTGTCAAAATAATTTACTGACCACCTCCCAATCTGGCTTCAGACCATTACATAGCACCACCACTGCGCTCCTGTCTATATCGGATAATATTTATAGCGCGGTTGATCAAGGAAAGCTGTCCTGCTTAGTTCTTCTTGATTTTAGCAAGGCCTTCGATACGGTTGACCCAAATATTCTCTGTAAAAAGCTTAGATACTTTGGCCTGTCATCATCGGCTTGCACGCTGATTAAGAGCTTTTTAACTGATCGCTCACAGTCTGTCATATATGAAAACAATATATCAACTTCTTTATTCAGAAATTTTGGTGTCCCTCAAGGATCTATTTTGAGTCCCCTTTTATTTGCTCTTTATATATGTGATTTTCATGAAACCGCCAGCAACTCAATCGTTCATCATTACGCCGATGATACCCAACTTTATAACTGCTTCGATCCTGATGAATATATGCTTGGCCAACATCAAATAAATCAAGACCTGCAGTCTATTTTTGACATATCTAGTGCTCACAATCTAAAACTAAATCCTGGCAAATCATGCTGCATTTTATTTGGGCCCAAAAAGAATCGTGAAATAAATCAATATCGCATTAATATTATGGTGAATAATGAAGACATATCCTTCGTAAACGAATGCAAAAACCTTGGTATCTGGTTTGTCTGCAAGCTACGCTTCACTAAACATGTTAACCAACTATGCAATGCGTCCTATAATGTGCTTCGTCAGTTATATCCGAGTCGAAGTGTCCTGTCGACACAGCTCAAGCTTAAACTCTGCGAGTCCCTTATCCTGTCAAAATTATCTTACGGTGACTCTGTTTATGGACCTGCTCTTTTACAACGTGATGCCGAGCGGATTCAGATGATACAAAACTCATGCATCAGATTTTCTTATGGAATCCGTAAATTTGATCATATTAGTAGCGCTTTTGACCAATCGGGATGGTTTAAGATGAACAAATTGAGGAAACTGCATTGCCTATCTCTGGTACATAAGACCCTTATCCTTAAAGCGCCATATTATCTTTATACAAAACTAAGCCTCCTCTGCCAGTACGATCAAAGATCCTCTAGGAATAAACTCATCTTACTTATCCCGCGGCATTCGACAGCATTGTTCACACGCAGTTTCTCGTACTGGGCACCCAAACTATATAACTGCTTATCAAGTGAGTATAAAGAATATAGCCTAAGCAATTTTAAAAAAAGGTTAAAGATGAGTTTAAAGCAGTCGGATGGCTAAAATTTTACTTTATGCATATCCACAGGTAATTGATCGTTTCCTTTCTCTGATAAGTGTTATATTCTAAGTTTTTTTTTCTCTCTCTCTATAGTTTGTGTCAATGTTTTCCAGGTCGGGTTGAAAAACAGCATAAGCTGACACTCCACCTTTTCGTCACTGTTCCTTTTAAACCAATTATTTTGTAATCGTGTGACGAATAAAGGCCATTTATTATTATTATTATTATTATTATATAATGTACGGGGATTGTCCGGAAAGTAATAGGACTCATTTTCTTCCGCCATGACTGTACTTCGGAGCGTGCGCGCACCGACTGGATTCAGTAGAGGGCGTTCCTAGCTAACGAATGAGCGGCTGGTCAGTTGTCTCCGACTCTCCGAGCACTTGGAGAGTCAGGACAGGCATTTTCGCGCGACGTGTTTCCGTGAGTGGTGCAAGCCGGAAATGCAGCGTTCGTTAGAGCAGAGGTACGCGATTAAATTGTGTGTGAAACTCGGTAAATCTGCGACAGAGACATTGAAGCAGGCTTACCTAGGTGTTGCTTTAGCAAGAAGTGGTGTATTTCGGTGCCACCGGCCTTTTTGGAGGGCCGGGAAGAGGTCGCTGATGAAGACCGTGCTGGAAGACCTTCGACTTCGACAAACACCGATAATGTGACTCGTGTGCGCAAAGTTTTGAACTCAGACCGTCGACTAAGTATTCGTTTAATTGCCCAGATGTTAAATTTATCAAAATCTGTGGTTCATGACATTGTGACACAGCATTTGAACATGCGCAAGGTGTGCGCGAAGATGGTCCCAAAAGTGCTCACTGACGTCCAGAAATTGCGGCGAGTGGAAGTGTGCCAAGAAAATTTGAACGTGTGTGAAAGTGACTCCCAATTTGTGAATAACGTAATCACAGGTGGCACACGACGGCGCGTCCTCGCCCAAAAAAGAGAAGAATGAGCAAATCCAAAGTGAAAACGATGGTCATTGTCTTTTTTGACATCAAAGGCATCGTCCACCATGAATTTGTTCCTCCTGGAAAAACCGTCAACGCCAACTTTTACGTGGAAGTGCTCAGGAGACTCAAACGAAGGGTCAGTCAGGTCCGACAAGACATCGCAGCCGACTGGAAGTTGCACCACGACAACGCCCCGGCTCACACCGCCTTTCTTGTGAACAGCTACCTGACCAAGGTCGGCATCCCAACGATTCCGCAGCCGCCCTACAGCCCAGATGTGGTGTCCCCCCGGACTATTTTTGTTTCCTCGCCTGAAAAGGCCGATGAAAGGCAAGCATTTTGTGACGACAGAGGGGATCCAAGCAGCATGCACCGCGGCTCTCAAGGCTATTCCGAAGAATGCCTTCCGTGACGCCTGCAATGCTTGGAAATCGCGCTGGCAGCGCTGCATCGACGCAGAAGGAGCCTATTTTGAAAGTTTTTAAAGAATTGTAACGATTGGCTCAATACATTTTTTTAAATCGACTCAGTCCTATTACTTTCCGGACAAACCCTGTATGTGTTCGTGTGATTTTTGTTAAATCGGTAAGCTCCATTACATTTAAGGCGAGCAGCCTTTCATAAAATGGTGCAGGCAGGCGTACCTACAGGGGCTAAGACATCAATCTTTGACATCCTGTATCTCAAATAGAAAGCATTTCCGGGCTCTGCGCCCATGGGAACAATTGATTAGCACTAGATTAATTATCGCTATACGAATTTCGTTAAAATTGACCAGTGGTCAAATTCCATATGTTTTGTGTCTGGTGGTTGCATTTATAATTTGACATGGAACACAATTACGATTATGTGATTATTTGCTTAAATATTTTAAATATTCGGGAAAAGTTATGGAGGTACTAAATTATGTACATACTCATATTTTGCAAAAGCTAACTCGATACCAGTGTAGACAAGGCCTTATCATCTGGCTTCCTTGCAAATCATAAATCAATAAGTTCCTCTCAGTTTCACACCTGTTTGCACCCTTCACATGTGACAAGGTTCACTGGTGGCTCTTGATGGGGTGGAACACCCTAAACGCTGCTGACGAGTGATGTGTTTCCAAACAGGATGAGCGGCACAAAGAGACCGACAGATTAAATGGTGTTGTAAATTAAGCCGTAAATGCGACGACCGGCGCGCAGTTGACTGACACAGTTTAGGCAGAGATGTTTAGGGCTTATTTCTTTACTTTTTTCTGCAATAGAATGTCTTATGATCAGGATATGTATAACGCGAATTATCCATCATATTTTAGCTGAGGCATACAACGATTTTCATGATTAAAGTCAAAGTTAGATGGCATATGTTGGTTAGGTATTAGTATTTACACTTCCTATGATGTTTGAGATATACAGGAAAATGTTAGAAAGAGCGAAGGTCATCACCACATTGTCTAGCAACGGTGACGCAGAATTTTGAATAGGTTACACCAGAAAATGTGTTACTGTTAAACCCAAGAAACAGGTATGGGCCCGTTCAAGTATTACGTAAGCAGATTTATTACAATTATTTACCCCCCCATCCCCCTTCTCAGTAAAAGCTCTTACCCCCTCCCCCCATGCTTACGTAAACATTTGTTAATTAATGTATTGTTTTTTTTAATATTATAATTATAACATTATAATTATAATTTGAAAAATAATAAAATAGATTTAGGATATAGATGATATTTTACTGATACGGTATTCAACCTAGAGTAAAGGACAAACATATTATATCTTACTAACATAACAAACTTACTTTAAATTCTTGGTACATATATTAAATTCAAATTAAGTCTTCAGTCCATGAAACCCGAATCCATGATTCTAAGTTTTCGATGACATTGGATTGCTTCGATTGCTGCTTAGTGTTGTGAGTTTGCTCGCTTTCATCGGATTTTGGAATGTCTGCGTCGTTCTCATCGAGCCATTCAACATCAGGGTGCTCTAAATTTTGAATAATGCATCAGTTCATTAGCACGACGAGCAGCGACTCTTACAGGTCTAACTTTCCTATCAGTGTGCGTGTTTACTTTTTTATGGATATTTTCGATTTGACGATTTAATGACTTGACGGTAGCATGATAAAGACCACACGTTTTGCATGTTCGACTTGATAGCCTCAATTTTATCGTCGGACAAAAATAATCTTAGGGCATTTGCAGGAAATCTTTGAGTGAAGCACTTAAGCGTAGAGCTAAACAGACTGGAAGATTAAGAAATTGCCCTCCTTCATCCAAAACCAAGTCATCAACTGTTTGTTTTACTTTTACAGGTGGTGGAAGAAACCTATTGTCTAGTAATCTAAATAGGCCATTTCTTGGACGAGAGCATTCTGTATTTCTACATTTTACAATTTGAAGCAAGTACCTATTGGCTCTCACGCACATGTTCTGAATACCATTCAATGTCTCGAAAATCAGGAAGATCTTGTTCACCTGCCCCAACATATTTTGCATTAACATTATAGCCATCAATTTCCATTGAACTCCATACTTCAGCTAATACAGTCTGCAAATTCGAAATTAGATCTTTCTAAATGTTCATCAATTGTAACGCCACGTTCATCCAAATGAGACCCAAAATGGTCATGAGGCAATATTAAATCAGCCAGTTCCCGACTAAGAGGAGCCATTCTGCGCTTTACTCTGTTATACGCACTTCTTCCAGGAGCATTGGTAGCTTAAAACAATGCATCGAGATCATGTCGCTTAAAGTGTTGTATAGCAAACCCTATGACTTTTTGATAACGTGAATTTTCATCTGGCCCTCCATCAACTGTCTTGATTACCACTGGTAATCTTGAGATATGAAAAATACTTGATATGGTCCAAGTATGGATGCTATGTTCTCTAAATAGTGGATCGTTGTTTCAGCGAACTTACTATACAGGGTGACCACAAAGTTGGGGTTTTCCTTTTCAGAAACAACTACCCTTGAAATAACAAAGGTAATGTGTAGTGAAACGAGGGCGACCAAGTAAAAAAAAAATAAAGGAAAAAGTACTCACTCTCCAGTTGACGAGAAGGGCTAAGTACGTCTCTGCCCGAAATCATACCGCTCCAACAGAAAATGAAATCAGCTCATGCGCTACCGAGCAGACGCCGGCGGTGGTGCAGACCAAACAAATAAGACGGCGTTGCCGCGTTTTCAGTTTTTAGGTAAACGTACTTTATAGGTATTGTTCGAAGTTACCGCCGTTTGATTCAAAAACACAGGTGCGTGCACGACGTAGCCAAGCATCGGTGCAGGCTTTGAGAATGGAGTCCCTCCCCCGAATGAAAGCACCAGCTTGCTCAATTCAGAGACGAAGTTCGTCAACCGTATGCACTTCAGTTTTGTATACTAAGCGTTTCATTTCTTCCCAAAGAAAAAAATCACATGGTGTTAAGTCTGGAGATCGCGGAGGCCACGCTACGGGTCCATTACGTCCGATCCACCTATTCGGAAATAATTCATTCAAAAACTCACGCACCATCGTGCAGAAACCACATTGATTGTCTTACACTTAATGGCACATCTTCTAACAAGGAAGGCAAAATGTTGCGTAAAAAGTCTAGGTATTGCATCCCGTCCAATCGGTTTTGGAGAATAAATGGTCCAATGAGCATACCGTTCACCATGCCAGCCCAAACATTCACCGAAAATGTTTGTTGAAAATGTGCCCGACGGACAGCGTGCGGATTTTCTACTGACCAAACATGAGTGTTGCGAAAGTTATTTACCCCATTACGCGTGAACGTAGATTCGTCTGTCACCAATATGCACTTCATGTTGATGCAACAATCACTCACAAAACCGCACTCTTGCTGGAAAATCGTCAGGTTGAAGGGCTTGTACACGTTGGACGTGAAACGGATACAGCCCCTCTTCACGCAGCGTTTGCCACACTTTATTTTCTGATACTTGCACTTCTCTAGCCACGTCTCTAGTGCTTGTTGTTTTTTGAAACGCAATCGATTATACGGTTTCGTTTACCTCTACACGCGTGACCGTAAACGTCGGTTGACGGTTGTATACTGACCTGACACACTGACCCCGACCCAGTTCTGTCGTCGGGTTGAGCCAGTGACCTTGTACCACTCGGTGATGTCGCGGGTCGCGGCCTCAGGACGGTACTAAGATATTTTTGATGTTGCAGAGCCCCTTATCTCGGTTTCCTTAAGACATTGGTGTACATGGTACTAAGAAAAATTGCTTATGTTTTCAAGATCTACACGTCGTGTAAAGGAAAACCCCAACTTTGCGGACACCCTGTATAAGTGGCTCTTGTGGTGATCAGTTTGAGCCCGAATGAGCTTAACAGGGACTGTCGATACATGTCTTCGTCCCTCTGCAGAACTAGATTTTCTGGGAATCAAACGAAGATATGTCCCACTGCGACTAATGTCAAATCCTATTTTACGTAATTCTTGTGTGGGTTCATCAAGAGTTTTTACGCTGCGAATTTATTCCGTTCGTCTTCTATCATCTGCTGCACTCCCAAATAAAGCTATATCCGCGATTGTTTTCAATAGTGAATGTTGATTGCTTTCAAGATTAGGACGTCCCACTGAATTCCTCAGAGATAGTCTTTTTCTTTATTTCTGGATTTTCATGACAAATATCTTCTAACTTTCTTTTCATACCATCCCTGTGTTTCTTCTGGGCAACTGCGTTTTGAACCTTAACCTTCCTGTTTAGACTGTTTTGCTGTTTTTATTTCCTCGCGCAACTTAATGATCTGTTTTACCAGCTTCATCACGGCTTGGCATAGTATCTCTGGCAGAATACAAAGCATTCAGATTTTTTTCGAGTAGAGCAATCTTATTTTTTATAGCTTCCTGAGAAGGTTTTGCTATCTGTTTATCTATATTTTCATTAATTTCGCATTGATGTTGTGATTCATTACCGAGTTTTATTTTATCTTCTTCCTCTTTTTTAATATTTGAAGCTGACTGTATAATTTGTGTTTTTTCTGCAGGTTCACAGGTAGCCAAAAAATAAAAACTTTCTATGGCTTCTGCTAAAGATTCTCTTATTAAGCTACATAAATACAAAGAATGGCAATATATATGGTAAGTACAAAACCCTATGGCTTTAAATCTAATATGTTTAAACGAGCAATTCATCCCGGTGTTAGTTTTCTGTGAATATGTATAAAAATAACATCCTGTACTTGTGACCAATTGACGGAATCAATCATAAGAAATAAATCTATAATATAATGAATATTACCTCTATACTTTGAGATAGGCCATAATATTCTAATCAGTAAAGAGAAATTTTTTAGCGATTTCTAATATTTCTAGTACTCATAGGTACCTAAAATGATTTCGTCACTCACCTTAAAAAAAAATTAGTAGATTGGATTTATTCTTAGTCGCCGCTTGCAATTCTTCTTCGATTCTCTTAGATACAATAATATCTAGTTCCTTGTCGGATCTTGCTTGTAATTTGTAATTTCGCCACACTTCGTTAACTAACTTTTGTACATTTTGTACTTTCGTACTTGTATGTGATTTTTTAAAAGTTTCAAACAATTTTTGGTATAACTTGGATTTGTCTATGTGAAACATCTTATTTAAACATTAAACTTTGGCTAATGGAATCAATGGTAACACAAATGTTAACTTGCTATAGTATCCAAACGAAACAATACACTGTTAGAGGAAATTTAGACAAGTGAACACCGCGCGGTAATTCCCCTACTCGGTTCTAAAGCGACGTATGCATTATTTGCGGGTATGTCCGAAAATGCGTTTCGTTTTCAAGCAAAGACAATGTGATTGGTACCATTCGTGTAAAAAAGTAAATAACTACCGATGACGTAATCATCATCTAGACTCCCCCACCCCCCATTTCATCCAAAATAAGCAAAGCAAAGACCCCCCATAGTGCTCACGTAATACTTGAACGGCCCCTATGTTCGAACATTCAACTTAATATATTGTTTTGATTAGAATTATTTAATTTAATTTTGATGATGATATAAATTAGCACATCCAAAATGTAACAAATACCATTATGAAATACAAATTATCACTACCTGCGTGTACGCAGCTGAAAACCATTTCGAAGCAGGACGACACTCCCCAATGAGCGCTAGATGGCTACTGACCAAAATCCCTCCTCTATGATCAGGGAGGTGGAAACCTCACCTTGGAATGAAAGTGATGCGGTATTGCCAAGCGAACCAATGATACAATGTTGCAGAATTTGTGGCGATCCTGACCTTTCATTTCGACCCAAAATGAACCGATCCGGAATCGATCCTAAACAGATTCGACACAATTCACAATTCAAAAATGTGTTCGCCCAAAGTAAATTCATTAGTTGGGCGTAGAGAATGAACTAACGTATATTTTCAACATTTATCTTAATTCAAGGAACTGGTGTAACATATCGACAACGCAGCATATTGCCGCGTAAGCGTTGCTAGGCAGCGCCATGATGAGCTTCGCTTTCCAGCTGACTTCTATATCTTTCAAACATATTATGTGTCTAAACATGAGTCCCCTATTTCCAAAAGCGGCTAAATCCATATTTACGAAAAATGGTGTGGGTGCTGCCATCTCATAGTCAAAGATTCTAGTAATATACTGTAATACATACTCGTTTCCAAAATGCGGCAAAATCTATATAAATCAGCACACTATTTCAGTCTTATTTTCAAATCCGGCTAAAGCTGATGCGTGTTTTATTACAAAAGTGGCTATATCCTTGGTTTTACCAAAACCGGCTACATCCACTGCTACACCAACTATTATGTTCTTGTTTATGAACAAGACCGGCTAGATCCTGTTGACGTGTATATTATATAGGATTCAATGCGCCACAAGTAGATGTCTGCTCGCAATGCCTTGAATACAGAGAAATGATCAAGAGAGAGAAAGATTTGCAGGTAAAAAACGATTTAATAGTGAAACAATGCATACATAAGCTAAGGGCAAAAGCATTTTATGATAAACTCAGAGGCCAAAGTGATGATCTATTGATTCTGACATTTGACTGCCAAAAAAACTTAGTATTACCGAAAATTCCTGATCAAATAACATATTACAAAAGGCAACTGTATCTTTACTACTTTACTGTTGTCATAGGATCATCAAAAGCAAAACTTTTAAAAGAAAATGTTTATATCCATACATGGCTTAAAACAGAATGTCATAAGGGATCGAATGAAATCGCCTCAGCGGTTTATGACTCTTTAAACAAAATCACGATTCCTGAGAATGTGAAAGAGATTAGACTGGTATCAGATGGCTGCACTGGGCAGAACAAAAATAGTATTGTTCTGCCTTTGTGCGCTAAATGGATGTTAGAAGCTCCGAGCCATATCGAAAAACTGCAATTGATATTTCCGGTCACTGGCCATTCTTTTTTACCTCCAGATCGAGTTTTCGCCTTGATAGAAAAAAAGATAAAAAAACTTGACACAATAGTCAAGCCTGAAACGTATTATAATATTTTCGAAAACCTTGGTACTTTAAAAAAATTGGGACAGGACTGGCATATTCAAAATTGGAAAAAGGAGGCCGCAAATGTCATCAAGTCACCAACCTCACTACATTTACAAATCAAGTCATGTAAGCGGTTGATACTGACTCGTTCAAAAAATCTGCAAGTCCTGGTAAGGGGTGAACCAAATTACCAGTCTGATGTGAATAACGCTAAAGGCATCTGCAAAAGTTGGAAGAGAATATCGCTCATGTCCCCAGAAAACGTTTGTATAAATAACTTGAAAATAAATCCCGAAAAACTAAAGAATGTTGATGAACTTTTGACAAAACATTTTGGAACGGCGTAGAAGCAAAAAAAATGAAGAAATCGAATTGGAATACTATAAGACTGTTATGGATAATCAACAAAGTTTAACACAAGCAGAAGAAAATGCTGATGATAAAAGTGTGTCCTTTGCTAATACCGAGTGTAGCTTTGAAGCTGATGTTTTATGATTTTTATTTTCGTTTTTAACAAAAAGGACTTTCTACTTCTCAAGTTGAGTTTTAAGTTGATGTACCCAAAACAGTTTACAATAAAGAATGTATGATTTTCTTTTTTATTCCTTTTTGTTATCTAATGTTAATACATCAGGAAAGAATTCACACAAACTTCGTTTCAATACCGGGTAAATCCTGAGTTCACATTCAAACTCGGGTAGATCCATCCCTACCCCCCCTCTCATACTGACATATAAAACAAAAAATATATTTTATTTTTCAAAAATCCTTTATTGTGCTACATACATTAATATTACGGTATTACTGACTCACAAACTTACAATTAGTAAGAATTACAGTTTTTCGCCTTTTTCTTAATACCGTCAATTTTGGATTTAGCCGCTTTTGGAAATAGGGGACTCACATACTTTCCTCTGGTACACAGCGAACACTAAAAAAAGTAAAATGCAGTTCGTAAAAGTTTGAACGAACAAAACTACTTCATATTTACTTTATTAATGAGAAACTTCTTAGATATAATAATACATTTTGTAAAAATGTTGTTCACATCCATGGATTCCCGCAGTTGCAAGGGTGACCCCTCAAAATCCGGTTTGACCTAAATATTTGCGTATTCAGCATGATTTTGGGTACAATTTTGGGGATCTTTAGGGCAGAAAATTTTGCTAACTCGGCTCTTCAAAAAGTATTGGGAGTGGTACACTTTCACAGTAAGTTATCTCTTGCCCCGCGGGCGACTAGCTCATCTAGCTACTAATTTTTCATATATTATCTTGGTTATCTCATATCAGTGTAGTGTCTTTTGGTATCCATTGAATTAACCCGGGATTTAAATTTCAACCGGATAATTATCCTAAAGACAAGTCAAGACTTTGCGAGGACTTCTTAAAAGGAAAAGAACAGCAACAGATGTTGGACCTCATGATATGAACTCCGCATTCCCCAGACTTGAACCCAATAGAACTGTTGTGAGATCAGCTGTAGAGAATTATGCGAGAATTTTGTCCAACACATCAGGAAAACTTGTAGAGACAACTGGAAGACGAATGGTAGAAGATAACTGAGACAACATGTGAAAAAGTACTAGCTAGGTTACATAGCTTTATAAGGCAGTCTCAAAAACAAGGCTTGACACACAACTGAGTCTAAATTTCAATAACTGTGTTATGTTGAATAAAAAATTTCTATTAAATAGTTAAAATTATGATATAGGTCTTTTACAAAATGTATGTATGTATGTATTTTATTTAACCAAAACGACACAATAGTGTATATGGCAAGTTATATATGAAGTATAAAAAAAAACAAACAACAAACATTACAACAGATAAAACGTATACTTACAAGACTTACCATTGCTAAAGCATCTAGAATTTGGCTTCAAGGTACTTATTTATTGAGTAAAAGCAGTTGCATTTCACTGTATAAGCAAATAATTTTGAGTGCATGTTGTGGGAAGTAGTTAGCAAACATCGAAGAACTTTCGTATTTTTTCTAGTTTCTGATCACCGATTAATAGTGCGGATGTTTTTCAAGTTGCGATTTATAAGGAAAAAGTTGAAAAATGCCATAAGATTCCCATATGTCTGGGTGTAATTTGGGTTTATACCAACGCTAAGGCTACTTTACCATTCTAGGGAGTAAATAAGGGTAATTATTTTATTAAACAATACTTCAATCTCTTTATCGTTATTCAAAAAAGTAACCGATTCTATTAACGAACATAACAAAGCTTCCAAGAGGCATATTTTGCTCTTAAGCAGCGTCAATGTGGCTTTAGGTTAGCAACACTAGTTTTATAAAAAAAACAATAGCGTACGTACTCTTTTTTTGGACGAACCAGTTTAAACATCCCACATCATGGAGATCATGACAACGGGGAATTTCCTTTTTATTATCATTTGCCTGACAGGAGGATTTAGAGGAGTCGACGAGGGGGGTGGCGCCCCCTCTTGACGCCCAAGTCTGCCATTTTTTTTAAGAAACTAGTATACATTGCTGTATATTGGTGTAAAAAATTATCGTGCTAGACCTGTATCGCGAGAAGCGCTGCTTAAGCCTTCAACTGCCACCCCCTGCCCGCTCTTCAATAAGAGACAAACATCTTCCTAAACATGAATGCTGCGACCACAGCTGCCCCCTCCCTAGTCAGATTCCTAAATGTGTCCTTGATTTGCCCCTAAATTTTCCTGGGCTATGTTGATTAGAATCTTGGAGCCTGCATATAAAATAAGACAAATATCCAAAAGTGCGAAGAATAATAAAACAATGCCGTATAGGATGTCACAGGAAGCATCGAAAAAAGAATTTTAATCCGAGCATCGCATTCCAGGCCGTATATCCCGAAAAAATCTCAACGATGAGCCAGAAAGTCTAAAAATACATCTCTTCTCGTGAACACACATTCAAGTGGAGCTCCTGGACACGAAAAACCAATTAATAGTTATGTGTACGGTAGAGGGAAAGGTCCCGCTGCTTGCTCGGAGAAAATATAGGGCGAACAGCTGAAACAGGGAACCTACGATCCGCCGGATGTACTGGCACCTCAAGAAATCTATGACTTCCATCCGATTTTACACTTGGCTCCACTTTTCAACTGCCAAAAACATCTACCCCTAAGGCCACCGTCGCATAAAAATATGGCTGCGGATAAAGCTTCCAATCCCATATGACAAGACTTTTTTGTTAATAAAGATAAGAATAAAAAAGCAAAAAACTAATTACCAGTTGCTGATTCTGCGTGTTTTTGATGACCGCCAAATGACACACATATATGTTGAATCGACTGTTTGCTAACTCTGTCGCCTCCGTGGCCTTTTCTAGGCACAAGGCACACTTGAATGGGTCGTTGCAAACGCCTCATAAGTTACAATTAGAATTTTGTAGGAGGCTATAAAAAGCATGTCATTGACAAATAAACCAGCTTTAAAGTGAGACCTTTTACTTCACCCCACTGCACTGGCGAGGAAATTTTCGAAATTCATACATTTTATTAATTCCCTGTTTATCTGGCCAAATAAACCACACGTGTTTTGTATTCTTCTTTATTGTCTCTTTTTTTGTCAATTGTACTGAAGAAGGACACCGTTTGGACAGAAACGTTTACAAAATAAATAAGAAGCTTAGGCGCATGTGGTTTGATTGGACAGTCAAACATGGAGGATTATACATATGAAAACCACATGATAAGTTTCAGATGCTACATGAGATTATTTTGGATTTTACATGACATCTAGGTACATTTCAAAACGCCATGTCACTCATTTCCGTCTGTTCTCTCAGTCATATCAATGAGGAGGATTGAGTCAACGGTTTTGGTAGGAAACAAGAAAACTATTAAATAAGTGATTTCGGACAAAGCGGATAAGGAAGATAGCTACAGTATTCGCCCGTCACCTTATTTTTCTAGTTTAAATTTAAAATTGTTATTTCGGTGCATATAGCACATAAATATGAAATAACACAAATCAAGGATCCTGGTACTGTTGTTGTTACTGTTCAACTACCCGCCGTGGAGTAATGCTTGCTAAAACCACCGAATGACTTACGTTTATGGAATTAACGTCGATAACGCTGCATTATTTGAAGGGGAAGGAATATACAGACTCACTAGGTGTATCACATAGATGTACTATTTTGAATGCGTAAAATAAGCATATTGAAAAAAATGGAGGTGGCTTTTATTTCTAATTTCAACATATGTGGTTTCATTTGGCGATCAGAAAACCATGGATTTTTCAGCATGAAAACCACAGAATAAGTATTTGGTGTTACATTATTACCCGTTGTCTTAGCCCAGAGATATCAAATCACGGAACCTGATTAGAATGCAATCATGAATTAATAATGCTATCGTTTTGAGATATTATACAACATAAATAAAAAGCAGATATATGTTTAATAAACTTTTATTACTATACAACGTTAAATTAGATAAATAGTGATACATAAACAAGGACAACAATGGATGTCCTACTATTCTGAACGGACGGATTAAATAAAATTAACATCTATTTTTCTCCAGTTACATTTACGGACTAATAAGTAGTTTGACTTGTAAATGCGCACAGTACAGGATCCAAAAATAAATCGTACACCCCGAAAAACAATAATTTTGCGTTAAGCTACGTTTCCAATTTAACAAGAATTAGGCACATGTGCATAGTTGCACCTGGTGAGGGACTATTCCGTCTTCAACCTATGTGCCCAAGAGGCACTTTTTATGAATGAACCATCACGAAGGCCTAAGACCTAAACACCCGTGGACACGGTGGGGCAATAGGGGCTTACAGGGGAAAGGAGGAGACGTCACACGGCCTCTATCGAGGGAATACGTGAGCATGAGATATGCACATATTCTGGCCCTCCTTAAGAATCCGCCGGGTGGTACCTCCACGCTCGACAGTTCGAGACCGTCTACCACCTACGGACCATCACATAATCATCCATAGCAAAGAGAAAAAATTTCTTGGGACGGGATTCGAATTTGCAAGCTCAAGGTGTCTAGTGCCCCGTCCTGAGAGCGCCCCAAATGACCTAAGGTCGGGGAACCTTACACTTCAAGAGACCGATCTGATAATCTGTTGAGCAGTCTCGTCTGAAAGGAGTTACAAAAACTTAGATCTGTCTAAAAAATAGACAGCCCAAATTCGAATTTATTTATTATATTGTGGTCATTGAGGAAAGCAAAAGGTTTACTTGCTAGGAAGACGCATTGTTTGCTTTGCCATTGATAGCTAAGATCGAAAAAAGGCACCTTCTTCCTCAAGTTTTATAATTTTTCTTTTTTCGTCTTCTTAAAACCTCGAAAATACATGTTATCAAGTATGAATTTTCAGAATAGATACTAACCAAAAGTAGTAGATCCACGTATTCGTCGAAGCAAATGTTAAAAAATAAGGATGAAGTGGCCTGTACTTTTTACTCTGTAAAGTCTACTTTCCCTATAAGATAAGACTAAATCAAGGAACACCTGAATCCGTATACCATGCTGGAATTGATCAAATACATTGTACCTGGATAGTCTGAGAGATGATAAAACTCGTTATATCAGTTACGATTAGTCACAAAATTGGATTCTGTCCAAGATGGTACGCCTAACGATATGTATGAACAACTGAAAAGGCAGATTAACGAGGCTGCGAAAGAAGCTTTAGGCATAAAATCAGTTCCAGGAAAATCAACAAATCATACCCGTTGAACGTATTGTGGAAGAAAAAAATCGCGGCGTATAGAAGGTGGATTACAACAAAAGAAGACGATTGAGAAGAGTATAGGCGTATACGTCGAAAATAATAATAATAATAATAATGTTTATTGTCACAAAAGTATTATTAGAAGTGAATAAAGCAGAAAACGATCACCGGGAGGAAGTTTGTGAAGAGGTAAATAACTGCGTTGGAAAACGAGAACCAATAAGACCTGGAAAATTTTAAAAGGCTTAAGAACACAGAACAAGGATAAAGCCGGTATGGACTTAATAAATGTGAATACGTGGACAGAACACTATAAAGCGCTTTTGACTGAAGATAGATACGAATTCCTAGAAAGCAGAGTTGAGTTACTGAATGAGATGAAACAGAGCTGCCAAACCTTCCTCTAATCTTCACTGAAGATTTTTGCATAGCATTGTCACAAATGAAGAACGGCAAGGCGTCGGGGTTAGGAAATATCAGGGCCGAACTAATAAAGGTAGGATATTAGACATTCTAGTAAACCTATTTAATAAATGTCTGCGTGGTAGCGATCCGCCTACTGACTGGAAAAAGGCCATTACAACATCAGTTTAGACGAGGGGAAGCAGACGTGATTGTAACAACTACCGAGTAATTAGTGTCATATGTTGGGTAGCTAGATTATATGGGAAGGAATTAGTGTCGAAACTTGAAGATCAAGTAAGAAATTTTGAAGGACAGAATGGTTTTCGATCTGGGCGTTCATGTATTGATGGGATCTTTACTTTAAATGATCTAGTTGATAAAAAGGTAGAAAGGGGTAGTCCGGTACACTTAACATTCATTGATTTACAAATGGATTATGACACTGTCCCATTATGCAAGTTATGGGAATGCATGATTAAATGTGGTTTTGATAGGGTCTATGTGAATGCTGACAAAAATCTGTATTGTGGCTGTACCAGCATGGTCAAAAGCGGCAGACAACTCTCAGAGGAATTCCCAGTAGCCAAAGGACTACGACAAGGGTGCTCACTTGAGCCGACTCTTTTCAAGGTATATATTGAAACAGTTTTAGTAAACTGGAAGAGGAAATGTCGCCATATGGGAATACCAGTGGGAGAAGATGTCCTTAGATTCGCTGACGACCAGGTTTTGATAGCAGGTGATAAAGATGACTCGTTTATATGTTTAGGAAACTGGAAGAAGAGTACGTGAGACGGGGATTGACAATTAATGTAAAAAAAACAAGTATATGATTGTAGGTGATAGCGATAGAGATGATTTGGATGTTGGAAACTATAGCATACAGAACACAACATCATTCAAATATCTGGGTCAAACGTTTACGGTGAATGGTAACAGCAACCAAGACATTTCAAATAAAATAGCACAGCAATAGCAAGAAATTGATATTCAAAGCTATAGTAGAAAGTAAGGCTCAGAAATATGGTAGATGACAAAGAGAAGAAGTTGATGAATTTCCAGACTAGAACATGTTAGGAACTAAAGAATTAGACAAATTATGGAAGTAGACCACAACATATTAGAAACGATTGAAACAAAAAGATTACTTTGGTATGGTCACCTTCAACGTATGGAATCACCCAGACCATTTTTGAGACAAAAAGCGAGATAACTGAGGTATTTACTATGGAAACTGAGCCAGGGGGGTCAGAAAATGGCGCTTCCACCATGGCGATCGAGACGGAGTCGAAGGAGTAGACGGTAGAGGAGTTGAGAGCCGAATTTTAGATGGTTCGACAGGAGCTGTCAAAAAAGGACGATAAGAAGACCAATGAAAGATTGATGATGATCATCGAAGCCCAGCAGCGGACAATTAACGACCTAACAATTAAATTAGACCTCCTACTGAAAACCCAGGTACCTTCCCATCTAAATATTACACATTCTTGCCAAACACTCCAACAAAATCCCAGTAAAGGCAAAGCTGTCAATCGTAAGAGACCGTTAAATAATTCAAGCGATCATTCCACTGACGACGATAGACTCCCTGACGGTTTTATCAAGGTTAAGCCCCGTAAATCGCGATGAAACAAGACAGGATTTCCTCCTCTCCTTCCACCAAAATCGCAGTCTGAAACGTCCCGTTCAACTGCAAGCGACTCGAATAAACAGCCAGTGCCCAATCGATCGGTTACTTCTTCGCCTTCGATCTCAGGTATCAGAAGTAACGGCTGCACAGCCCCCACGCAAGGTACGTGTTATCTCCATCGTTCTTCGCGATGCTTCGAGATGGCGAGGCGTAGATCCCAAGTTTATTTCTTTGGGCATCAAATTCGAACGCGCGGTTGCCGTCGATGCAGGAATCAGGATAATTCCCAAGTCCGAGGATGATTACCGCAGGATTATTCGTCTCTTCAGGGAGGAAGAGGTGCCCCACCACACTTTCCCTTTACCCTCGGAAACGGAGATAAAGGAAGAGTTGCAACAGAGAGAATATTCCCGACGTGCCCATGCCTGGTAGTCATACTGCCCCAGATGCAGCAATGTAAGTTACGCGGATGCAGCTAGGGATGCAACAAGGGCTGCCGAACACGCAAAATGTGGACTTGGCAACAGCGCTAAGGTCCTCATAGGTTCTCTGATTAGCGCAACACATGCTTTGCAGGCGATCTTTCCTGCAAATGGCTAGGTACAATAGACGACGGCCTGCATTTGTCAAAAATCTTTTTTGGTATTGTTTGGGTCTAAGGGACATTCCCAAAAAACGGGAATTTTTTCAAGCTCTTGTGGACGAAAGTATAGATGTGGCCTTGCCGCAGGATACATTACTTAATCCGGGAGATCGTCTAGCTTTCCCGAATTACGATGTTATCCGAGCCGATAGATTGACTGGACGGGGTGACGGCTTGGCAGTGCTAGTGAAACGAGGTATTTACTACCACAGAAGGGGAGGTGTAACGTTAAAAATCACATCGGTGTATGTCAGGTGTGGTATCAGGCTGCAAGAGGCAGATCTGGAAGTCCTTTTAGACTGCTCGGATCCACTTATTGTGGCAGGGGACTTCAACTGCAAACATCGAGCATGGCATTCTAGGATGAATTCCGCCAGTTGGATCCGACTGTACAACCATGTGATACGAAATGGCTACCTCATAAATAGTACTGCGGAGCCGACGCACCACCCATTTAATCACCTTCAGGTACCTGATGTTCTTGATTTTGCATTATCCAAAAACTGTAGATACAGTATCACTTCTCGTATCATGTATGACACCTCAAGCGATCATCTTCCCGCCGTTTTGGAAGTGGGTAATGAGCAGATGTTGGGGGACGAAACCCCTCCAAGAAAACGCATTGATTGGTAGCTATACAAGTCGCTCCTCAGAGAGTTCCCCAATATTCCGATCATATATGATGAGAACGGTATAGATGCGGCTCAAGCAGAGTGGAGAAGTTTTGTTCAGCAAGCTCTGCAGCGTGCAGCTGTACTTCCCGTGCAGCTACACGGCAGACCTTTTCTGCCAGCAGACATTCGTCAGAAAATTTCTGATAAAAGGGCTGCAATTAAGCAAGCGAAAAGGTCTTGTCATCGTGATGATATTCGCAAAGCGACGTATCTTGTTCATGAAGTAAGAAATGCTCTTCATGAATTCCGCAATGAGCAATGGAACGACTTCCTGGTGGGGATGCTTGACTCAAGCATTCCTCTCTGGAAGGTGGCGAAGTCGCTCAAAAACGGAAAGCGTGAACAAATCCCACACATCCACGGTCCTGGAGGCATTGTCTTCAGGACAGAGGAAAAGGTTGAGGTTTTCGCCGATGCCATGGAAAGACAGTTCTCTCCCAATTATGATCTTGATAATGACCTCGACGAGGAGCAACACATCGTCAGATCTGTCAGGAGATATTTTAGGGCCAACGGCGTCAGTGACAGTCGCGCTATCGTTGGTGATTTTTCTTCATCAGAAGATTCTTCTTCAGAAGCTTCTTCAACCGAAGATCTGTTTAGCACATCAGCGGCATCTCCTGAGATCCCGCATTGCACACCAGCAGAGATTCAAGACCCTTAAAGTGCGTAAAACACCTGGGGAGGATCAAAACACTAATAAGTCTCTGAAGCTGCTTTCGCGTGGCAATGGTCAATGCCATGCTAAGGATCCAGTACTTCCCATTCGCGTGGAAGACCGCTGAAGTTATAATGATTCCAAAGAAGGTGGGTTCGATATTTCCCCAGGATTATCGTCCCATTAGCCTGCTGTCAGCTCCGTCTAAGCTCGCTGAAAAGGTGATTCTACGTCACCTTGAGAATTGCTCGTCAGATCACCATGTGATTCCTGACGTGCAATTCGGTTTTCGGTCTGAACATAGTACGGAGCTACAGGCGGTTAGGCTGGTGGAACGAGTAACCAGAGGATTCACCCTTAACGAATGTACTGGAATCTTGTTTTTGGATGTCTCAAAAGCATTTGACAAGGTGTGGCACGCGGGCCTCCTGTATAAGTTAATCCAAAAGGGCTTTCCTTTTTGGCTTCTAAAACTACTGAAAACCTTCCTTGACGGTAGGAAATTTCGGATCAAAATTGACAATGTCCTGACGACAATACGGCTGATTACAGCCGGCGTCCCTCAAGGTTCGGTCCTTGGACCTACCCTTTACTCACTGTACATCCATGACGTCCCTAGTCCCAGCAACTGTGAAGTCTATCTCTATGTTCACGATACTGCATTGGTGGCTCAGTCGTGGTCTGGTCACCTAGTCCATGACAGGCTGCACAGTGCGGTGGAGGAAGTATTAGATTGGGCAGATCGGTGGATAATTAAAATTAACCATTCGAAAACGCAGGCAATCTACTATACAAAAAGACGTCGCGGCGTTCCGTCTGAAGTTTCAATTTATGGACTTCGTATACCATGGGAATCGTCCGCTAAGTATCTCGGTGTCATTCAGGATAGAGGGATGACTTGGCGGAACCATATAGAAGCGCTAAAAACTAAATTCCAAATTACGTTTCGACAGCTTTACCCATTATTATGTAAACGTTCAAAATTAAGTTTGATTAACAAGATTCGACTCTATAAGGTGGTCATAAGACCAGCAGTGACTTATGCATGTGCGACTTGGTGTTTTATTGATAAAACAATGCGAAATCTGCAGGTTCTGCAAAGCAGGACGTTGCGCACTATTGCTGACGCCCTATGGTATGTCTCTAACGAAACTCAACACAAAGACCTCGATGTCTCTTACCTAAAGGACTACATTAAGCAACAAACGCAGCGGGGCTATAGCCTAGCGGAATCGTACAGCAACCCTCTGTTGCGTGAGTCAGTGGACTACACAGTCGAGCAAGTTCGCAAACACAAAAGGCCGCGGCTCGAACTGTAATCAAAATTAATTCGTGAACTTAGAACAACCAAAATTGGAGCATTTTGTCAAAATCTTTAGAAAAAATCGAATATTTTCCTACCATATCAAAAGTGATTTCAACAATGCCTAAACGCTGCCTATCGTAAAAGATTCTCCTCTTCCCCTTTGCTCTCGTTCTTCTATATCTCCTTTCCTTTCCTTTTTTCCTTAAAATTGTCTAGTTTCTGGGTTACCAGACCTGATGACAGACTCACAAACTGACACTGTGACTCAAGAGTCCCACGGACCGCTCTGACAACCAACGATGACTTGACTTCAACGTATGGATATAACACAAGATGCCCAAAAAAAGTATATGAGTGGGTACTACCAGATCGTAGCAAACGTGGTAGGCCTCCAAGACGTAAGAAGCAAGATGTTGAAGAGTCCATGACATCCAGAGGACTGCAAGAGGGAGATGGATGGACCGAAAAATGAAGCGTTTGAGAAGCAGGAACCGACAGTAGTCATAAAAAACCCGTATATATACATATATAGACATTTGATGTTTGACATTTGACAACTTGTCACTTCCACATTATGAGACAAACAAGACCAAATCAGGAAATACTACGCATTAGACCCTAAATCTGAAAAATACATATATTAGCGATTGGGAAAAAACGTCGAAATGTTTACGAAATGTGAAGATATTTGAATAACTTGACAAAACTATGTCAACTCCCAAAAGCTACACTCAATATTTTTAAATAGAAGCAGCTCTGACTGCTCTAACCATTTCCTTGTACGCATTGTAACTTACGAGCTTTTCGTAGTGAAAGTGAATAAATATCAACAGCAAATGTAAATAAGAATGATTCGCTTGAATAAAAAAGTAAATAGGTTGGCAAAGCCAAGTATGATTCGTTTTCAACATTCTATGAGAGCCCGCAGATTTTGTATGCCCTGAGCCCCTATATAGCTCAAAACGGCTATGTGCGCAGCAAAACATAAAGCAGACTGGCACAGAACTTCGTGTTTTAGGATGTACAAGTAATTTTTGGGCTGTAATAGCAATATAAATGCAATCTTTCTCATAAACATCTAGTATAGAGCTATGTCCATATACAGGGTGATTTAACAGTCGAAACATGTCTAGAATAGAGAATACCCAAAAAAATAAAAATAAAACGGAAAGCTCCTGTGCATATACGGGTCTCAAAAGTTCTGCTTTGCAGTGTACAGGGTTTTGTTGAAAAAAAATTACCCATAAATATGGATTTTTTTGTGACTCAATGTGACACCAATGGCATACTTTGACCACTACAAATATGAAAAAAACTTATATCTATTGCATTTTTGAATAAGGTCTCTAATTTTACACGGAATATCTCTCTTGAGACAGTTTCATTTGATCATCCCTTTGATTCGAAAACAGTACGTGGCATTGTAAAAACTTACAATACCCTGTACCTTGGTGATGGAAAATTTCAGGACCTATATTTATAGGTACCTCATGTATTGTTTTACTCAAGAGATACACCTTTATTTTTCAAATCATCCTGTATAATCCAACTTCAGGTTCTCCAATCAGAAAGGAACATACAGAGTTAAAAACTCAAACAATTTGAAGATAAATCACATTTCGAAAGTATGAAACTAGACTACCACTTAAATTAAGTTGTTGACACATGTAAACATTTAAAACTTATTAATATCTATATACAATAATTTGTACAGCTTACTATATAGTATGTATGATATATCTCGTGAACGATATTGTTTTATGTACAACAATGTAAACATCAATAGCTATCAAATTTTATGAACAGCTACAGCCAACAAGCAATTTTCATTGATTGATTTTATGACGAACAATAGTAACAGACAGAAATAGTGACTTTCAAAGCATAAAATGTTTTTCTTTAATGTGGACTATTGGAAAACTCAGTAAGTAGTAGCAGTACTAGTGAATTAATTCATTTTCAATCAGTTGAATGATTATTCAATAATTTCTTTTGAAAGTCACCGCATTCTTTTGAAATGTGTATTGTTCCATCACAGCAATACAATATTCAATGATCTTCTAATCTTCACGATAACCTCACGAAAACCACGAAAGATCACATTATGATAGAACACAAGAATGTACTATTTTAACCACTACAAACCTGCGTAATGGCAAGTTGCCTATCTCTCACCGGAGTTTCCGATCATTACATTGGCCAGATCAGAAGCACAAAAGATACATTTTGGTGGTCATAGTCACCATTGCAGTAACAGTTGAGGATCGGTTGTAGGGGAACTGTGAGGCGTACTAGAATAGTCCGGATCTGTTGGCCAATATGGCGGTGGATACCTGAAACAAAAGGTAAAACTAGGTAAACTGTAAAGGAACGTAAGCAATAATAATAATTATAATAAATAGTCTAAGGTGCGGTACTACTATATCAAACCTGTGCTCTGCTGACATCCCGGTTCACTTTATGCCTCCGAGTTTGACTGGTTGTCAAACTAATTTGAACGATAGTTGTGGCAAAGGTTTATTTACTGATTTTGCTAGAAGATCGTATTTAAAGTTATAAGTCCTCGAAAATAGATAACTCGCTTGAGTAGAATGGGACGGTTGAGGGATTTTTGTTTACCTAAGCATTCCTTAAATCATTCAACTGAATTTAAACGTTGAGACGTCCACACTTCAATTTTTACACCGATATTTTTTCAAATCATGAATCAGTTTTCGCGGATGGAATTTGTTTGAATATGCTAACGTTATTATATTTTTATTATGTTTCTCTGTGTAAGCCACCTTTTTGATGTTTAAACTCAATCTCATCAAATATCTTCCCTTTATACATTTTTATGTTCGCTGGACTAGTTACCAGACTCGTAAGTGGAGTGGTTGTCATCGTCATTGCGTCAGCTTGTGCGGTGATACAGGACGTTATTCGCAGAAGAGGTTAACAAGCAACTATACTCGAGTACCAAAACGGAACATCATATCGTACGTTACTGCTAGCAGGGCGCGTCCTTAAATCGGCAAATTCGATGCGCGCGAATCCCGCGATATGTAAAGACACGCCGCATTAACAATGGCGCACGATGTAGGTCGGTACTACATTATAACAAACATTAGACTCATAACCTGGCACTTGCTTTACGCGTTGCCAACATGGTCGTACCCCAAATAGTCTAATCATATTAGCAAATTTTCCCGAAATAATAATTGTAAAGTCGGGACTTATTGATGCAAGTTGTTCGAGGGGGTATTTAAAACATGGACACAAAATGGTTACACCAATTTTTGTGGGAAATCTTTTTATTCGACAACAAAGAATGACAAAATGTGTTTCTTGGGATTCAATTGTAACTGTTGGCAGGAACGAAAAACCTTTTCAGATAAGATTTTTAGGTATTTATGAGACCTACAAAATGAGACCACACACAAAAGGCTTGATACTTCTAAATAAACACAACAAAATTGGAGTCGATTGGTCAAGTAGTTTTTGAGAATCTCTAATTGTTTATCCCAAAACACTGTCTTCCGGCCATCACTACTAGTTTAAACTGAGCAATATAAAAGGTTCGTACACAGGGCATTTTATAGCAAAATACACGAATTTGAATTGCCGACGTGAATCACAAACCGAAAGATAATTGTGATTTTTATGTGAAAAACGAAAGGTTACGTTTTTTTTTCACGAATTCAAATATTTCGTATATGTGAGTAACTATGTAAGTAGATTCGCTACGATATTAGAAAACATCTGTATTATACACTTTTTAAAATAGAGCAGACGTGTCTATCACCTTTTATTACGAAGTAAACAATTTTTTCTCAAGATTTATTTATACTCCTATTCACAAACATTTTTAGAGCTGAAATTCTTACACGGTCACAGATGAGCCTTAAAGTTTATGAACAAAATATTCCATACTGAAATGTGCTGAACTGTCTATAAAGTTAACACACAAACTGAAGACAATTATGTTTCAAACTGTCTTGGACTAGTTAGTATGTAGCATGTGCTAAATGGCTGCATTATCGATGACTGCATGACATTATCAAATAAGTAGGTCACGTAATCCAGTTTCTTTACGAAGAAATATAAATCCAAAATTTTAAGCTCGCAGTCGTTTTAATCGAACGAGATTTCGGAAACAGACGTATACTATATTAATGCTTTTAGAAAAAAGAAACTGGTTTACGTGACCTACTTATTTGACAAAGTCATGCACCCATCAATAACGCGGCCATTTAGCACATTTTTTCTATATTCCAACCACCACGAAGGCCTAAGGCCTAAACACCCATGAGGTTCCGTGGGACTAACTTTATTTCAGTATGGAATACTTTTTTTATAAACTTCAAGGCTGCTCATCTGTCAGCGTATAAAAATGTTAGCTCTAAATACGTATTTACAAAAGTATGAAGAAGTCTTGAATAAAATTGTTTTCTTCATAACAAAAGGTGATAGATTGTTTTAAAATGTGTATAATAACGTATGTTTTTCGAATATCATAGCGAATCTGTTCAGTTACTCAAGTATACGAAATGTCTGAATTTGTTTAGAAGATAAAAATGTAACCCTTCGTTTTTCGGATAAAATTAGCAATTATCACTAAACTAGTAGTGATGACCGGAAGACAGGTGTTTTGGGATAAAATATTAGGAATTCTCACCTTAAAATCTTATATGAAGAGTTTTTTCGTTCCTGCCAACGCTTTCGATTGAATCTCAAGAAACGGGTTCTCTCATTCTTTGTTGTCGAATAACACACAAAAATTGCTGTTCCCTAATTTATGCGTCCATGTATCAAATACCCCCCTTGAACAAGTTGCATCAATAAAACCAGCCTTTACAATTATTTCGCAAACCAGGGGTATTTTGATGATTAGACTAAAGTAATAATGATGCGAAATTTTAAGACGGATGAAAAGTATTTCGCTTATTTAAAAAAGCGTAAACGGTAATTTTGCCCAAGGGTATGGTATACTTGACCACTCTATTGTTCAAATGAATTATAAAAGTTTCGTAGTAGCCATCGTATTTCAAAGAATGAATATAGAAGTGAATATAAAGAAGGATATGTTCTGGTAATTTTCAATATTCAAATGCCACATTCCATTATTGGGAGCCAATGGGACGATTTTCTGTTTGGGTAAGATTGAGGTTTCTCTACTTTTGTCTTCAAACATAAATACTTAAATATATGAACCAGTCCACGAGACATCGATTTATCATAATTACGATTTGACCTGTAAGTCTCCAGTTAGTATCTTGACGTAAACTGAACGATTAATTTTTATGTTCTTGTTTTATCGCTTCATTAAATTGTATTGGTCAGTAAGAATCGCGTGAAATTATTTTTTCTTCGGATGTTATCAAAAGCAAAAGCTTTTTTTAGATCATATCCTCATAAGTTTCATATTTACAAGGCCTGTCGCTAATCAATCTTTGGTGATTGCAAAAGAATAACACCCGGTAATATTGAATTTACTACAACAATTTTTTGTATACATGGCCCTTAGGGTTTGGGTATGTAAATGATCAAAATTTCAGAAAAATTTAACCGTTGGGAAAAAGTAAAAGCTAATAATGTGTTGGGCCTCCATGATGCCTTATGCACGTCAGGGTATACTACTAATCAGATAATCCATTTCCTCTTGAGATATTTCATCCCAGACTACTTGTACCTCGTACCGAAGTGCGGTTAGAGTTTGAGGAGAATGGGGTGAACAGAAAAATTATCTTCCTGTAATATCCCAGAGATGTTCAATGGGAGAAAGATAGGGAGATCTAGGCGAGCAAGGTAACAAATCGACTGGTCCTCAAAATGGGCCAACGTATTTCTGGCTATATGTGGTCGTGCATTATTATCTTGTGGAAAAAGTGGGTTGGTTAGTGTCTGCACTTAAGGCAGAACATGAGAATCCACCACTACCCCATTTATACTTCTGTGTACTTTGGTCGCTATTTCTCTAAAGGAAGCAAGCCCTCTATCAAACTCTCTAAGCTGCTGAAAATTTTCTCCTTTACTCACTCTAGATATACTGAAAAGATTGAAGCAGTACTTCTCAACATGTTGTACGATGATCAAGTGCCAATTGTATCCACAAAACATAACTAATGCTAAATGAGAAATACCGGAACTATAAGACATCTGAACGGAATCTGAAAGAATGAGTGCAAGTTCCGGAGTACTTCTCTTTAGGACAACGGCAAGTATCATGTCAAGATCAGAAGCTGTGTTGAGCTAGAGCGACTGCGATACCCACCTAAAGTGTCTTGTGACAGAAGGTCACTTGTTGTTTAGCCTTAGAATCGCCAACAAAGCTGTCATAGTTCAGAAAGACAGCTACAGGGCTGCGATAGTAATCAAAGAACAAAAGTCTTACCTTGCGCCTGTATCCTGTCTAACTCCGCACGGACTATACGCCGGCGGCCCATAAGCTTGATGTTGTCCATATCCTCCTGTCGTGCCTGTAGCTGCACTGCAACTGGTGGTGTAAGCAGCTGTCAACTGAGCAGTAGGCTGCCCTAACCATGCAGCTGTCGCTGCGTCGTACCTGGAACCAGTAAAAAATATCGTTTCAATTTTACTTTCACATTGTAGCTGCCGAATTGCACAGTGAAAAATATATTGTAACCCCCTCGTAACTAGAACTTTAAGTAACAATGAGATATCCTCGTAACATCGACGCTTAGGCAACCAATTACGCATCCGCATGTCGAGAAGGATCATCACGCAACGAGAAACATCGACCACCATCTACCAAGCTTCGATGAAGGCTCGAGTTTAGCCTACGAAACGCGGGAGTGCCTCTGAACCCGTCAATCCGAAGATAAATACACGCACAGATGACAGGACCAGAGAGAGTTGACGGATGATTCAACAGCGCGGCTTACCATAGTCCAGTCGTCGATCATTGTCATACATTTGTAATAAATTAGTTGCAAGTGTAGTAATAAATTAGTGCGAGAACAATAAATTAGGCTTCAAATAGTAAAAACGATGTTTTCGTTATATGTTATGTACCTAGTAGTTGCAAGGCTCTTGAATATTAAAAAAACAAATTTCAGATAATATCGTGAATTCACTAAAAACCACCTAAACTACAAAACTGTTTGTTTTGTGAGGCTTTGATTTCTTGGAAAAGTAAATACATTTTGGGACTTTTCAGAAACGCAAATATAACCTTATTGCCACTAACAGTAGGTGAAACTTGAGCTGAAATAATTCAGCGTAGATCACTCGACCGGGTACCCAGCCGAGTATTCGGTACGCCAGTACTCGGCTTTTTGAAAAAAGTGGTACCTAGTGCATCTCTACTGAATACACTCGTGAAGCGTCAGCAGTAGGGTTTCCAGACCCGGGTACCCGGGACAGGTATACCCGGGTTTTCGGGGCTGGGGAACATTTGACGAAAAGCCCGAGTATCCGAGAATCAATAAAAATTATAAATGTTCCGTTTTCTACCTAATACAGTGACTAAAATCAGATAGCCAGGCTTCAACTCTTCAAAAAATTTATTTTCTTCTATCTAATTTAAATGTGCTATATAAAACACTATTATCCGTAAAACCCACTTCTATAGACAGCGAACAGGCTTTTTCTGTTGAGGGGAGTTTCGTGACGAAAGCAAGGAATAGGCTGTCAGATCGGTCTTATAATGCCTTAGAAATTTTGAAATCAATAATAAGTCTGGTATTAATTAATACTTATTGTGATTGATCTCTTTGTTTGTTTAAAATTAAATACCCTAAAATTAATAACTTCGATCTCCTTTCTAAGCCATATGTGGCACTCTAAGTACTCTCGTTAATTTATGTTATTGTTTTATTATAATGGAGTTTGTTTTTATTATTATTGTTGTTGAGATTTTTTTACTTGAATTTATGCATAGGTACATACCTATATGTATATTTGAATGAGCGGAACTCATAGATAATGTAAAATTTTACCTACAACTCAAGATACCTCGACACACGGGTCTACCCGAGTATTTGAAAAAAAAATACCCAGTAGCGGGAAACGAAAAAAGTACGGATATGCGAAAACCTTAATCAGCAGCATCTAGAAGAAATGTAACGTAATCTTTCACCAAATCTACAAAGTCGTTATTACTACACGTCGGGAGTGAAGTGCATAGTGGAGCAACTAAATCGACCGCTGTGAAACATCATCGGCTTAATAGTGAAATATAGGCGTGGTCTCTAAGGAAAAATCTATGTCAAGTGAGGCCAACTGGAGCCTGGCAATGGCAGAAATATTTCATTTGATAAATCTAAAGAGAATTGCCGCTTTACTGTTCCAAATCAGTCTGGCATCCGCTAGTTGGCGATATCATCGCGCATCCATTTTCAATTTCTTCAAATCCGATTTATAAATAAACAATCCGATTTACATGGTGCGCGGCGCCTGGGTTTAATATTGACGCACTTCGTATCGGTACACCTAAAGCTTTGCGGGAAGCAGGACTAGTTTCGATATCGCAGATTTTTTTCGGAATCAAATATCTGTTATCTTTGACTTTGGAGAAGAAGAAAAATTCACTTGCAAGTTGAGGGTGCGGGACCCAAGATAGCACACCATTTACTAACCTGGAATAGGGTGGCGGGTAAGCGGGCGGCGTGAAGATGTTTCTCATAGGCAACGCGTGCTGGGAAGTTAGAGCGTCCGCCCCGAAGAAGGTCTTGGGGTACGGTTGGGCTGATCGGTACGGCCGCCTCATGCGCCTGCGCCGACGGTAGTTGCCGTTCTCGAACATATCTTCGTATTGGGGGTCCAGGATCCAGTAGTTGCCTTTGCGTTCACCGCCGCCTTCCCTAGGGACCTGGAGTCAGTAAAAGTTGAGGTACAAAATATGTTGGTTCGCCCAAGTTGCCGGTCTGACATGTTTGATACCCAGAGATTTTAAATTTTCAAAAAATAGAATAGTTTTGGTGTCTTGCAAGTTGGAACTTTTCAGAAACGACCAAGTGTTTTAAATAATAAAGGTGGCGGTACGTAAAGAAAACGAAAAACTATTAACTGTTCATGTCATTACAAATTTCAAGTATACTAAGTGACATATAAATCCGAACACCCAGTTTAAATGGTTTTATTTTAATAAAATTTTGTATAAGTACTTAATGAAGCATAATAAGTAAATGATAAAAATTTCAAAATGATTGCACTGCTTTAAAGCCCTTTGACCTTTAATAATGTGTGGATGCACCCTGATGTGCTACGCATCCTCCAACGCGCCTAGGCATGCTTCTGATCAGGTGGTCAATGTCCTCCTGTGGTATCTCATTCCAGGCAACCACCAACTCCTCTCGAAGTGCTTCTAGAGTCTGAGGAGGACGTTGCAAATTGAGCAATCTCCTACCCATCATATCCCACACGTGCTCAATTGGGGATAAGTCGGGAGATCTTGGTGGCCATGGTAACAATGTGACATCATTATGTTGAAAGAAGTCTATTGTGACTCTTGCAATATGTGGTCGGGCATTATCTTGTTGGAAAGTTGGATCTGCCAGGGTGTCAAGATAGGGTAAAAGATGGGGTTTTAGAACTTCGTGGATATAACGCTGCGCGTTCATGTTACCTATGATGAAGATTAAAGGTGACCTGGAACCATAAGCTATAGCACCCCAAACCATAACTCCAACAGTGTGATGAACATGTCTTTCAACAAAAAACTGTGGATTCCTCCTTTCACCACGTCGCCTTCTAACCCTGGCACGACCATCGTGCATGCCTAAACAAAATCGAGACTCGTCACTAAAGACAATACTGTTCCATTCCTGATCCCAGAGTGACCGTTGTCTGCATCACTCAAGGCGATGACGTCGGTGTTCTCGAGTTAAAGGGAGGACCCAGTGTGGCCGGTATGAAAACAAGCCAAAACTTCTCATTCGTCGTTAAACACTTCGCATGCCAATAGGTCTTCCGTGTTCTGCAAACCATTCATTTGCAATGGACCTGGTAGTGGAGAAACGGTCCCTTAAGGCCAATAATCTTAGGCGGCGATCTTCACGGCCTTCTCGAAGCCATGCCTGACAACACCTAACCACAGTGTCTACACTTCTTTGCACTCTAACTGCAATTGCCCGAAAAGAAAGTCTAGCTTCCCGAAGTCCCACTATACGGCCCCTATCAAACTCACTAAGTTGACGAAATCGTACAGGTCTCCGTACTCTAGGCATCGTAACCGATCGTAAAGGATGTCAAGAACCAAAATCCGCCAACGTTGATTCTTTACTGCGGCTGAAATATTCATTTTTAGAGCGTTAGTGAATTAAAAAAAGCAGTATAAAAACCGGAATGTCCAACTGATGAGGCTGAAAATTTTTTCACTTGTTATTTACAGTAAGATAAATACATCACCAACTTTTATTAAAATAAAACCATTTAAACTGGGTGTTCGGATTTATATGTCACTTAGTATATTAATCTGTCACACGTTTAAAAAAAGTGGTCGAAGTTTGTTAACTCCTTCCTCAATTTTACCATTAGGGGCTATCTAGCTTTTCTATTGTGGCCACCTCGACGTTCCTACGTACGGGCTTTGTAGGAGATAAGCAAACCTACGCGGTACTAAGTGCCTTCAAGATTACTTCGAGCCTTACAATGCAGGGAGGCACTGGATAGTTTAGCAACTAGCCATCCGGTATTGCTAGTGTGGTTACCGGGACATGTTGGGATAAAGGGTAATGTGATATGGAGGACGCTCTCGTGGAAGCAGGATCAGCGGGCAAGCTTGTTGGTCCTGAGTCAGCCCTAGATCTACCCGCGCAAAGAGTCAGGAGGATATGAATGTATGAATGAATCTTGAAATTAAGGGGCATTCCGGCCACCATAAGGAGCCAGTGCATAGGCCGCTTAAGTGGGTCCTTATGCACCTCTACAATCCTTAGATCACAAGCCTCGCCCTTTTAGCGAAGTTGAGAATCGCCTTGAGTCCAAGCTCCTTGACGTCCTGAGGGTCCAAAGTAATGGACTCCAGTATAGTCTGCCTATAGTAGCTCAGAGCTTCACAGCGACACAAAACGTGCGCCGAGGTCTCTTCCTCTACCCCGCAGCGTTCACACAAGGGATCCTCAGCCACCCCCATCACGTGCAGGTGACGCCTTAACGTGTTATGGTCAGACAACAGTCCCACCAGCAACCTTAGGTTGGCTCTATCCAGAGATAGGCAGAAGCGTCCATCCTTAGCACTGGGCCCTTCAATGAGTTCCCATACCTGGCGGAGATGTCTACTTCTACATTTCTGAGAGTGTTGTCTTGCAACCCAAGTCTCCATTTTCCTCCTAGCTTTATGCGCGGTCACTCCTAGAGCTGGCTCAGGACCAACGAGCTTGCTGACTGATCCTGTCTTCGCCAGAGTGTCCGCCGTCTCATTGCCCCTTATCCCAGCGTGCCCCGGTACCCATATTAACGACACTGCCTCCCTGCATTGCAATACAAGACTCGAAGTAATCTTACAGGCACTTAGTGCTTTTATTGCAGCCTGGCTGTCGGATAAGATTGTTATTCTTCTCCTAGGCCCACCCTCCTCCAGAATGTGAGATACACAAGCCAGAATCGCAAAGATTTCCGCCTGGAAAATAGTGGTGTATCCACCGAGAGGCAGAGATAGCCTAGTTCTAGGCCCAGAGACCCCAGCACCTGAGCCCTCTTCGGTGACCGAGGCGTCCGTGTACCAGACCTGCTCGCTCACTCCGGAGAGTCCCTGGCTACCGGCGTCCCACTTCTCCCTCGTTGGATACTCCATAATAAATTAGCGGTTGAAGCGATATTTAGGGGTATTACGATCACCCCTGCAATTCGACTAAGATGGCAGTATGCCCCTTGACAGGATTCAAGAAAGCCCAGCTGCCCTGACTCCACAGACGATGAGCGACTACTCTCGCTTCACCGCGGATCACCAGATCCAATGGTAGGAGATCCAACAGAGCTTCCATTGCACTCAACGGCGTTGTTCGCACTGCGCTTGTAATACTAATACAGGCCAATCGCTGAATTCTATTGAGTTTGGACTTAGTTGTCTCAGTTCTAATGCAAGGCCACCAGACCAGGGAGTCGTACAAGAGAGATGAACGTACTATCGTCGTGTAGAGCCAGTACACCACTTTGGTTTTAAGCCCCCACCTTACACCGACAACACGTCTACAAGCCCACATCGAATTGCGAGCCTTGCTAACCTTGTATTCAACATGCTCTCTCCAGTTCAGTTTGCAATCCAGGATAATTCCCAGATATTTCACTGACTGGGACAAAATTAATCTAGTCCCAAAGAAGGTCGGCACGACCAGCCCGTCAAGCCTTCTTCTCCTAGTGAATAGGATCAGCTCGGTCTTTTCAGTATTAACAGAAATATCTACTTCCCGACACCACGATTCCACAGAGCGCAGAGCGCCCTGCATAATTTCCGAGACTGTTCTACAAAAACGCCCCCTAACTATTATGCTTACGTCATCAGCATAGGCTTGCACGTAGACACCCATACTGATGAGCCTAACGAGGAGTTCGTTCACCACGATACACCACAGTAGGGGTGACAGAACTACGCCCTGCGGGAGCCTCTAGCTACACTCACGCTGCAGCTTACGTCATTCAGCATAGCTGTTCTTACCCGGTCCTCGAGAGTAGATAGGACCCAATCTATTAGGATTGCTCCAACCCCGTGTCTAACCAAGGCATGTCTGATAGAGTCGGTTGTGGTGCAATTAAATGCACCTTCAGTGTCCAAAAAGGGCACGAGTGCCAGTCTTCTCCAGCCTACCGACCAGATTGTGTAAGGCCAGATCAGTCGATTTTCCAGCTTGGTATGCAAACTGATTTGCATAAATGGCACACCTTTCCAGCGGGCCATCCCTTAAGTATCTATCAACTATCCTTTCCAGTGTCTTAAGCACAAAAGATGAAAGAGTAATCGGTCGAAAATCCTTCGGGCCAGTATAGCTCTGCCCGATTTAGGAATGAATACCACTTTAGCCTGCCGCCAGCGTCTAGGTGTGAAGCCCGTGGCCACATATGCTCGAAACACATTCAACAGGTGAGGAACAACCGAACCTGCTGTAACATGGCCGGAAATACGCCGTCCAGACCCGGACTTTTGTACGGAGCAAACGAATCTACTGCCCATACCGTCCTTTCGAAGGTGACAATCTCCCTAGCTCTGCGCCAGTCCTCCCCTGAGGGACTGTGCAACTGCATTCACTCTGTGATTGATCGCGCTACTGTGGAACCGGAAAAGTGCGTATCCATCAGAAGCCTCGGAGTACCTTCCTCAGAAGTAGTATTCCCCCCCCGAGGGATCATGCAGAGATCCCAATCTTGCTTTAATGTCTTTGCATAGGACCCTGTGTATTCTCGCAGTAGCAGGAATGTCGTTTATGGACTGACATAAGTACCTCCAGGATTCTCTGGAGGCCTTTCTAATCTCCTTTTTGTACTCCTGCAATGCCTTTTTGTAGTCTTCCCCTAGAGGAGAACTTTTCCTGTGCTTAACTCTGCTAAGAAGTTTGTGCACCGCTCGTTTTCTATCCTCTAATTCTTTGGTCCAGAAGGTTGCCTTGCCCTTACCTTGGACTTTGCGTAACGGGCAGTTTTCGTCATATGAAGCCGTCAAGTCCCTGCTCAGAGACTCGACAGCTGCTTGTATGTCAGGAGGATAACGAAGGAGTGGATATCTAGACAACACTCTCTGAAATGGAGAAGTATCTATAGACATCTCCACCAGGCCCGGGAGCTCATCTTAGGGTCTAGTGCTAAGGATGGACACTTTTGCCTATCTTTGTCTGGGGGTGGCTGAGGATCTCATGTGAGCGCTGCGTGATAGAGGAAGATGCCCCCTAGGAGTCCTCGGCGCATTTTCGGTGTCGCTGCGAGACTCTGAGCTACTGCAGGCAGTTTATACTGGGGTCCAACACTTTGGCAGTATCTTGAATTCACCCTAACATCAAATTGACAAGCTCGCTACTGCTGCATTTTCGGCTCATACGCAAATTGCTCGGCTTACCTGCACGCGCGCGTCCTAGGCTGAATACGAACGCATGTCGCATCATTTCAGCTTGTCCACTGCTGGTGGCAGACCCTCTTTGATATAACAGATTTTTTTTCGGTAACTTTGCCATCTTACATTTTGGTATATATACAAAAATAGTAAGCCATTCATGGGCTACTAGAAAAATTTGCTCACTTTTTTCAAGAACTGTGTCATAAAATACTGCGATACACATGAAAATGATGAGAACCACTCATTCTCATGCATCGCGACGGATATTGAGACTTCTTGGCGAGTTTGAATGGGGTATTATAATTTATTGTAAGTCTACTGTGTATTTAAATTTCATCGTACCTTAACAAAGCACTCGTTCAAACTGAGATTATGCCTAATGGAATTCTGCCAGCCTTTCTTATTACTTTCGAAATAAGGGAAATTTGAAATGATGTACTGATAGATTTCTGATAAAGTAGCCCTTTTCAAATGTGTTGATTGTATCGCCATAGCAATTAGCGCTACGTATGAATATGGTGGTTTCTTGGAATTGTCCTCGGATGTACTGGAACCTGCAAAGAAAAAAAACATCACTATCCTATAACTAAAAAAATCTGCTTTTTTGGTATCGTACTTTTCGAAATTTTGGCTACCTTCACCATAACAAAAATTTGGAACCAGAGCTTACATATATTGTGGAGACAGGTTTTGAAAATACGCTCAGTAGAATAAGGCACACTGTTCGTCACCAAAAACAACCCGACAGCAACTTGATTTTGACAGTTGCGTTCTCACCGAAATCGCTAAGCATTTGGCACCTTAGAAGTTGTGGAAAAAGCCACTAAGTATGTTCTTGCTAGTAAGAATGCGGAATTTAAATGAACATTTTTCATTCTTGATCCTCAGAATCTTTACTCGAAGAAAATCGTATAAGTAACGTATGACATACATAAAATTTACCAAATTAATCAATCACATATGTGGATCTTTTAATTCACCAAAAACAAAACAACAAGTCTGATGATCACTCGTACACTATTATCTTGATGGTCACAAGTGTGTGACTGCAGGTTACCTTAAAGGTTGCAACGGCAGTTTTATCACGCAACGTCTTAGTTTGACTGGACTATGTAGATATCCTGGTGGCTCGAAAGCCAGACCGGACAGCCTGACGCTGATTGGGCAATACAAACGGCTCGAATAACAGACTCAGCGTGTGAATACTGTGAATGGGCATCCAGATCTCATTCCTTTAAGTACTCACGAATGTTACACAGGTGACCAGCTCGAGTTCCCAAAGGACAACATATAATAACAGGGTAACTATCTTCGCTCTCGGGGATGTACCTCAGAGGGGGGGCTCACATTGTGCCAGAGGCAATTGAGTTCCTGTTAAGCAGAAGGTCCCGGAATCATGATTTAAACTGATACATTATTTTGAGTGGTGAAATTTGAGTTCTGATTTGGTACGCAGGTCAGGTTACTTTGTAATTTTGCGCTCTAAAGCCTATATCGTAAGAATTATTATACCACTATTTTCTGTTATTAAATTTAAAGTAAGTTTTCCATTAAAAGCGCGAAAAGAGTTCTGTTTTCTTTATTAGAGAACAAAACTCTTGTATGAACGAGTAAAGGGCTGCCCCGCCACATTCTGGCTCTCTCCGTGTTTACAGGTCTGTTCCAAATGAATCACTCTAAAGAACACAAAAACGTGATGGAGAAATACTTTTATTGTTTTTTTGAGGATACGATCTGAGCAATAACTCAAACGTCACAATCACATCAACAGATGAGATCATCTATTAATTCGAAACCGACGAGCCACAAAATTTACAGCAACCGTCGAGCAACTGGCCGAGCTGTTTTCACCATAATGAAAACGCTTGTATTTGAAAGCATGCGTCGTCGTGTTGCGGCCGCCGTTTGTTTTCGGTGAGAACGGTCTTAAAAATGATGGAAGAATATTGTATTAACTCCAGTCAACAAAATGCGGAGAAAATATCATTTTCCACATTTAAATATCGATCAAGGACGTAAATGTCACTGATTATAGTTACGTATGAAGATAATAGATAAAACAACGTATCATAACAAAAATAGACTTTAAACTAATAGTGTCATGAGATTGTGTAAGAATAGCTGTTAAGATCTGACATCTTATTAATAAGGTAAATCTCTGTCATAATCTATTTTTGTGATAATCCGCAGTAGTCTTTGGACTGTGCGGCTAACTAAGGATGAAAAATAGTTTTCCAAAATAACTCATTTAATAGTCTTAAACTGGTTATATAGCTTTCGTTCTCCGACCACAGACGCCCAACCATGGACAGCTGCTTCGTGCTGAAAGGCAACTCACCATACCATAGCCTTGGTCTTTTCACTTTCGCAGAGATCAATTCTGGTAGTAGGTGGCATTTTGTGCTGCCTTATTTCTATTAGTCTGAAGTTTAAAAAGATATTTTGAAAAATTTTGGTGGGATAGTAATAGCAGCAGAAGATTGTTGCAGCTATCGAAGGTTGGCGATTCAACTTGAGACATCTATCCGAAAGGTTGCAGCTCGGAAAATTTCAAGTGACGTTCCTCCGTATCATCGTCGCAGGTCTTCTGTTTTGTGCTTGAGTTTGTCAGCCTTCTCACTAATGCTTTACTAAAGATCCTGCCTTCTATGACAAGACCGAGAATCTCGTAGTGTTCATATCCACATTACATGATCTATGAACTGAAGTTTCCGTTTCTTGATGGTTGTTAAGAGATCATTATTATTTTTTCATCTGTCTAAGCACCTTAAGATTGTTGCATATAAGGAAAAATGACCTCTAATTATAGGATAATCCATATTGCTTGCTGAACACCTTAGATATTTACCTTAATTCTAACTTCTATGTTGTTAAATCGTGAAATATAGGTCACTGCAATGCTTTTATTTTATCTAAATATTATTTTAATCAACAGGTAACAAAAGTTGGTCTAAACGGAGAGTCTTTTAATGCACAAATCAGTATCACTGACGTCACTCCTGCTATGACAAGATGTCAGAAGTTGTAGTCAAGATTGTTGCATCTTCTTCTTACGCCGTCTTCCTATCGAAAGCTGCGGATTCAACTTGAGACATCTCTCCTTGAAGCTGCAGCTCGGAAAGCTCCAAGTGACGGTCCTCCGTACCAAAGTCTCAGGTGTTTCGTTTCGTCCATGAGTTTTTCAGTCTATCCACTGATCTTTTACCAACGATCTTGCCCACTACGATAAGACAGAGAATTTAGTAGTGTTCATAGCATCATTATATGGTCTACTCGTATATACTGAAGTTTCCGTTTCTTGATGGTTGTTAAGAGCTTTTTATTTTCTTCATCTGTATCATAATCACCTCAATATTTTTGCATACGAGGAAAAAATTACCTCTAATGATAGGGTAAATTATACTGCTTGCTGAACACTTTAAACATTTAGGTAAACATTCAATTCTATGATGTCACTGCGATGTTTTTATTTCATCTAAATATGATTTTAATCCACATGTATCAAAAGTTACTCTAAATGGAACGTCCTTTAATTCACAAATCAGTAACACTGACGTCACTCCTATTATGACGAGATGTCACAAGTTGTAATCAACTACTGTGGTTGCTGGGATGTCAGTGGATCAACTAACTGCTCTACCTAATACGTTCTTTAATTTGTCTGAGATCCATTGTTCGCTATTTTTCTTGGATAAGGGGTATGTTTCCAAATGAAGTTATATTGGTTCCAACATTCCAATAGAAACTGGTGCTGGGGCTCATGGGGCTATGGCTCGAAATGTTCGATTATAGTATGGATGGCTATGACAGGCATTTTCTGGGATGACCAGTGTTACCAGGTCTACCGCTTTTAAACTAGATCCTGGTCATGGACCCAATTATCGATTTTCATGCAAAATTACCGAAAAAATGATCTTTTTTCTCAACTGAATGATTTTTTCCTATAAAGGATTAATAGAACGACATCATTTAATAAATAATCCCATAGTAAAACTATGTTTTATAGATCAGGCGATAGTAAAATCTGGACCTATCCTGTCTGACTTGATAATTTCTAAAAACTGAACAGGAAATATAATCTCTAAATACAGAGTGGCGTTTATTACGGAATAACAAAGATATTAACAGTTCTCCAATGACGTTCTGTCATTCTGGAACTGGGTTGCCCATTTGAAATATGGAAGTGCTATCTAGCTATATGTTTAGATTTTTAACCAGATATGTCCTTAATATTTTAATACTTTCGCATTCCTCAGAATATGTTGGCAGAGCGTTTTAACAAATATATTACATGAAAAGCAGTATAAGGAACCGTCTCAAGAGAATGAATGAATCAATGACTAATAATAGTGAAGAGTGTCACTATTTTTGTTTAAAATATAGTTCAGACACTTATTTGTTTATCTTATACACTTTTTTGTTTTTGTTTAAGAATAGATTAGTTTTAGTTAGCTGGAAGTGAGATATAGACTGGTTATTATTGTTTTGATTGTCTCTTTTAGAGTACATCTGAAGTGAAATAGCATTGTCTTAAGTAAATGCTTTCATTTAGTCTTTGGTACTCCATCTACCAAAAATCTACCGAAAAAATTCGTACAATTCTACCGAATTATGGTCGACCGCACCTGCCACCAATGGTGATGAATTCATTGATGACATATGGCAGATGTGACGTCATTTTAACAGTAGGACCGTTTCCGTGGAATAATTCGAACTGTTAACTGTCTGACACAGCATTTTCTTACAACTCTAAATTGATCCCTGTTATTATGAAAGTAAAAAGCAAAATCGCATATTTGCTTCGCTGTGCAAATGTGATTGTTTGAAACTGACCAGAAAGTGAACCTTGTCCATTTCCCCTACTGCTGCCGCTAGATGGCGTCGTAGATGAAGGTGGCTGAGGCTGAGGCGAAGTGCTCGAACCGGTGCTCGGTGCTTCCGATGGTTCCCTGGGCGATTCTGCTTCTACGATACAACCAGTTGCAGACGTCAGAGATGTGGCTGCTAACGAGATGGTTGGGGTTATCGTTGAAACGCCGGGTGAGGATATTGCTGATACTGCAAAAGATGGAAGCACAAAATTAATTCGAGATCAATTTAAAATTCTCCAATTCTAGTTAACCGGCCATGATACCCCTCCAACCGACTCAACCTCACCTCTGTGCTTTACCCTTTCCTTCATTTCTTTGTTTCTCCCTTCAATCTCCCTGACTTTCTCTCATATCAAAGCAATCAGACTTAACAGACTTACTGATCTACAAAATAGATTCCACAGCTATTAAGGCTAGGACTAGGACCGTTATGCTTTACAAAAGTAGAAGATTGGTCTTTGATCAGTTGGACCACAGAGACATTGCGGCTCATATGGCAAAATTTATACAGATTCATTTAAAATTCTCAAATCCTAGTTGACCGGCCATGTACCCTCTACAAACGACCCACCTTCCTATTTGCTCCACCCTTTCTTTGATATCTGAGCAACCAGTCTTAGACTTATTGGGCTATAAAATAGATATGACAGCGGCTAGGGCCAGAGACGTTCTGCTTGTACAACAAAGCCGTCAAGTAGGTTGACTCTGTACTTTTCACGCTCAGCTGTCATCAGTTCGTGATGTTTGGCGCAAGTTAGCCCTTCTGAGAACATGTATAACAAAAAATTAAATGACCTTCCTTCTTCCCCTGAGAGGAATTGCTGCAGGCGCACATGATCGTTGCGATGAAAAATCCCACGAGAATGCCTTAACCATACACAGTGCACACATTCCACCGCAGTACGGAAGCTATTGATGACTGTGAAGTGTGACCACCAACTACGACACTTGTCCATCGGGGGACCATGTCGCACGTATCAACGTATCAACACCCGACTGTAGGAGATATCAAGTCTTACGGGTTAATGTACAGCTATGATGAGTGAAATATGCCTAATATAGTAATAATAATGATAATAATATGTCGTCTTTAACTGAGATATATCCTCCTCCACAATTTAGAATCCCCAATTTTTTACCCCTACAAATTTTCAGAAAATGATCAGGATCGTCTGAAAAGTTTGAGCGATTTTTATCGCCACTATTTTCAAAAACTACAAAGCCTTTGCATCCTTAGCATAGTGGTAACATTTTATACAAATTTCATCGAAACCGGACGATACTTAAAAGTTATAGGCGGTTGTAAGGTTAGCGGACATACCGACAGAAAGACAGACAGACCAACGGAAATGGCTGACATGTTTTTTGTGATGTACACTAAAAAATTAGAATATTGGCCGTTGATCATTTGGACCTGAGAGACATTTCGGCTCAGACTAATTCGTATTGTTGGCAGGACATTGTTAATTTTCTTCAAGGAAAAGTTTAACAAGTCTCCTGAATTCATGTACTATGTTGTTTGGCGCCGAAGAATAGCTTATTATTGATTTTCGTACATGCAAAGTAATTTTTTGGAGCTGCAAATTAAGTGAAACAAGATAACAAGAATGAGTGAGAGCAAAGGTTATCTCTGTAAAAGGCGACATGCGTCTTGTTTACTGAATGAGGACGTGCCTTTTGCTAGAGACTACGTACGTTATATAGTTAGGGATAACCCAGGTCGGATAAAAAATTTAATTTATAATTGAAGAGAAAATTATAGAAAATGATGTCAGTTAGTCAGGCAATGCCTTGGTTTCACACACTCAAGAGTCACTATCTTGAATTGAGGATCGTGACTTTGATAACATTCTAAGACATATGTCTTAGAACTAAGGTCCACTTCTTAATTATTATAAGATCGGTATTCCTATGAAACAATAAATTACATTTCAGGCTATTTTTACAGAAACGTTTCATTTCCTACATTTGATACTTTGCACACACGCAACAACTAAGAAGTGTAGCTGAAGTGCTAGTGAAGCTTACGTCCGAACGAATGTGATTTAAATTCAAGATGGCATTTTTTCACTTCTTAATGACTATATTTTTACTTATTGAACTTAAGAAAACCTACTCGTTTTAAATATACAGCCAGAACAACGTTTTCGCGAAATATTATTGTCTATTAGCAAAAACTACATATTTGGACATTCATAATTTTAGAAATCTGGTTAAATTACCTAAGCATCTCCGATTCCCAGCTTGAATGCAAGGCTTCCATCTCCTCGGCGTAGAGTTCTGATCTATTTGGCATCATTATGGCAGCTTCTGAGATTATTAAAAAAAATATATACGGAGATCGTTGAATATATCATGGAGGACTTAAGGTCTGCTCGATCCGGGGTTATTATTTTACACAACACCATTGGAAAATCTAATGATTGCTGCAAAAGTCTTAGAACAGAACCGTACCTTGAATTTTTGCTTCATGTTTGAATCTTAATCTGTTCTCAAGATTTTCTCATTTTTTGTGTAGACCGGTCTATCCTCTTCATCTACCTTGTCGAAAACATTCTGGTTCTCTATATTTCTGCGTCCTTGTCGGTTCTTGTGCACATTATACAGCATATCAGAATGTCCGGTTTTGCTTTCGATCGTATTGATGTTGAAATTCAAAATGAGAGATTCATCATCACCTAACAGTTTCCCTATACCTCTACTTCGTTCTCCTTAAATACGTTTTCTCCATGGTCCTTTTCATTAGTCAGCTATAGCCATGTCTTATTAATATCTCGTTCATTGATGAGTGATCTAGGACTTTTGGTGTTTGTTCTCCGTTCCATGACCTATTCATTCAGTACCAATTTTTGAAATTCAATTTTGACATCATCTACTTCTGCTTTCTCTCTTTCCAACGTCTCTGATCTTCTTCTGTATAATCGTTCCATGCTGGGTCATGTCACTGTGGATGAAAATGTATTTGTTCTTGAGTTTGCTTTTTGCCTTTAATATTTCCATTTTCGTTTTAGATACACCCTGTATCTAATTAGATATATTCGGATAGATTTCAACAGGTAGACCCTGTATCAAGTGTCGGATATTGATAGAGCATAAAATGTACTAATTTGGCGTCTTGTAGAGGAAGCGATGGATTTCGCCCTCCAGGTGTAACCATAGAATGCATAGCCCTTCCCTAATTAACCCTCGTATACTTGGCGTTAGGGTTAATTACGGGGAATACAGTGCCCTTAGCATGGGTATATTTTATTTCCACTGATCATGGTGTACGTTGATATTCGTTTCATTTCTCTTTACAGTGTAAACTAACCATTACAGGAATTGATACTAGTCATTTCAGCATCACATCGTTATTGTTTGTTGTAGTGAATTTATAGCGAGTTTATCTTTACGTTACTGCAAATAAGTTTCTTTGGTGTTCACTGCTTCCGTATTAATGCTAAAAAAATCTTGACTACAAATCCAAGAAAAATATGTTGGAGACACCTTTTCTAACTGCAGGAGGAATGCGCGGCGATCAGATTTACAACTTCAAAAATTATTCCTATTTTCGAGTGCAATTTATACTCGTAATTCAGATGTAGTCTTCATCAGACGCATAATATACTTGTTTATAATATTAACCAAGCTAAACATCAAAATATTATTAATTGCAATTAATTTATTTATACAAACGTTTAATGAGCAAATGTGTTGTTAATAGGCGGGAGCCACGATATTTTCAAAAATAGGTGGCACAGGCGCTAATCAAGGAATGTTATCGAAAATTCACTATTTTTCACAACGATTATATGCTTACGTCACAAGCAGAGCCTCGTTTCATTTGTCCCAATGACCCGCGACCCGCGAAAGATAACGGATAGCGCTTGTACCACTCATTAACATCAAAAATTATTAATAGTAAATTATCAATATTTTTTTGGAGATAAGGTATTAGGAAATCTTGTGCGGAAATTATTCGTTGCGCTTATATCATTCCAGCATTTATCCAAAATATCTGGGCTTGTGCACTTATATTCAGTAATTCTCCACTGCATTCACTAAGATACTAATCTCTTTATATTTTCTACCGATCAAAAATCCGACATTTGTTAGGAAGAGATAGAAGCCGGTTGAAGAGCCAAGGTCATCACCACACTGTCTAGCAACGGTGAAACAGAAGATCGTGCAATCTGTCGCGATGCCAATATGTTACACCAGAAAATGTTCGCACACGCTTCTACAATAGGTTAGGTTACTGTCAAACCCAAGAAGGAGAAATCTGTTCGAACATTTAATTTAATATTTTGTTTTAATTTTGATTATAATAATAATAATAATAATAATATTCTTTATTGCCAGCAAACATTTTACAAGACATACATAAGCAAACTCTCAGAAAAGCAAAAATGTAGCACAATACCATAACGAGAATTATAAACAACACCCAGGCACCATAAGCAGGTAACTTAAAAAATGTCACAAATGCATATATAAAAAATAAATAAAAAATACAAATGTAAAATGGTATGTTATAAATAAATTATCAAAAATTGTACAAGGGTAACCGGCCAAAATTAAATTTTGTTGTCCATGTATGTTTACAATATTAAAAACTGTTAAAATGACAAACACAAGTCCAGTATGTTCATCCTGACGACATTGGCAGAGCGACGAATCTTGTTCATGAAGTAAGAAATGCATTCCATGAATTCCGCAATTAGCAATGGAACGACTTCCTGACGGTGATGCTTGACTCAAGCATTCCTCTCTGGAAGGTGGCGACGTCGCTCAAAAACGGCAAACGTGAACAAATCCCACACATCCACGGTCCTGGAGGCATTGTCTTCAGGACAGAGGAAAAGGTTGAGGTTTTCATCAGAAGATTTTTTTCGGACGATTCTTCAGCTGAAGAGTTGCATAGCACATCAGCGGCTTCTCCCGAGATCCCACATTGGACACCAGCAGAGCTGCAAGGTCACATTTAAGACCTCAAGGTGCGTAAAGCGCCTGGGAAGGATCAAATCACTGATAAGACGCTGAAGCTGCTTTCACGGAAGTCCTTGACTTATCTCGTGGCCATTATCAATGCCATGCTAAGGACCCAGTACTTTCCATCGGCGTGGAAGACTGCGGAAGTTATAATGATTCCAAAGAAGGTGAGTTCGATATGTCCCCAGGACTATCGTCCCATCACCATGTGATTCC